CTCTTCCAAATTCTTTCCTGGATGCTCTGAAATTTTCCTTTCTTTAGCCTTCCATCTGGGGTTGGGAAGCCTAAGTACTTATCCTCAAAAACATTATTAGCAATTTGTAGTGTATCCCTGATAGCCTCCTGAACTAACTCTGAGGAAGAGTCCCCAAACATTATGGAGCATTTCGAGGGATTTATCTACTGACCTGTAGCAGTTGCATAGTCATTAAGAACCTCCCTGATCACCTCTGCCTGTTCTGGTACAGCCTTGAGAAATAACAGAGTATCATCTGTGAATAGTAAGTGTGAGATACCCGGAGCACTACGGCATATGTGAATAGGAGAAAGCACCCCCTGCTGGACCTTTTCATCTAAGAGCAAAGATAGTCCGTCGGCCAGGAACAGGAATAGGAAGGGAGATAAGGGATCTCCTTGACAAAGTCCCCGAGATGGAGCAAATGAATGAAGAAGGGTTCCATTGAATTTAACCGAGTATCTCACCGTGGTTATACACTCCATAATCCATCTAACCCACCGGTGAGCGAAACCCAACTTATACATTGCCTGCTCCAAGAAGCCCCAATCCACCCTGTCATACGCTTTCGATAGATCAAGTTTGTATGCACTTGCTGCTTTGTTTGGATTCTTGTTCTTCTGGATATAGTGGAAGCACTCAAAGGCTAGAAGAGCATTATCTGTGATCATTCTACCAGGTACAAATGCACTTTGGTTAACAGATATTAATTCATCCAAGAGGGGTCTCAATCTGTTCACTAGGCACTTCGAAACCACTTTATAGATCACATTGCACAGGCTGATCGGTCTTAAGTCTTTTAGTTCAGTGGGTTGATCAATCTTTGGAATGAGCACGATTGCAGTGTCATTAACCCCCGCTGGCATAATTCCTGACCTAAAAAATTCCTTCACTGCCCTCACAATGTCACTCTTCAAGCCACCCCAGTTCCTCTGATAGAAACGAGCCGGGAAGCCGTCGGGGCCCGGCGCCTTAATTGGGCCAATCTGAAACATAGCAATGGCCACTTCCTCCTCTGTAAAATCCTCGCACAGTTTATCATTCATCTTAGCTGAAACCTTAGTTTGGAAGAGCCTAGTAATCTTGGACTGGTCCAAGCTTGGGGTCAGCAGTGTACAACTTCTGAAAGTAATCAGTTGCCATTCTCTTCATTTCTGTTGTCGAACTGTGAACAGTTCCCTCTGAGTCCCGCAGCTTCAAAATTTTGTTCTTTTTGGCTCTCCACACCGCTCGGGAGTGAAAGAACTTGGTGTTGCGATCCCCTTCTTTCAGCCAGCTAACTCGTGAACGCTGCAGCCAGAGCATCTCCTCCCTATACAACAAATCATTCATGTTGTCAGTCACTTGTCGAACTGTTGCCCCATCAGCGTTTGCCTCAAGGAGGTTGGACAACCTTTTCCGCGCTCTCTCCAGTTCACGGCCAACGATTTTGCATTTGGTTCTGCTCTAGGAGTGAAGTGCTATCATTACTTTACTGAGAGCCTTGTTAATCTCCCCCAGATCCTCCTTTGTCCCATATTCACTCCAGGCCTCACCTATCACTTCAGATATTGCTGCTTCCCTCTCCCAAAAGATCTCATACTGCAAGCACTTCTTCCTCCCTTGGGTCCGAGAATCACCCGACAATTGCAACACAATTGGACAATGATCAGAGCAAGGGGACACTAAGTGAGATAGTTGGGCATTACTAAACACATCTCTCCAATTGTTCCACCCCTCTCTTTTGTTATCATAAGTATGAGGCAGTCCTCTAAAACCCAGGTCATGCAATTCACAGCTATGTAAAGCATCTCGGAAAGCTCTCATCTGAGACTCATTTCTAGGTCTCTTGGAGAAATGCTCGTATTGCCACAGCACCTCATTGAAATCTCCCATAACCAACCATGGAAGATCAGAGGATTGCCTTATATCTTCCAAAAGGGACCACATACGATGTCTATTCTCAACACAAGGCTCCCCATACACAAAAGTAACATGCCACAAAGGACCATCCACAGTCATTCTCACATACGCATCAATATGTCTTTCATTCATATTTAAAACTTCCACATAAACAGTCTCGTGCCAGAAAAGAGCAAGACCACCGCACATTCCTTCATTACTGACCCCAGCAAAACCTTTCAAACCCAATCTATTACGCAAATGCCTAATTCTTTCCACTTTTTGTCTAGTCTCACATAAAAACACTAAATGGGAACCAACCTCCTTAACCAAGGTACAAAGATCACGAACTGTCGTGGCGTTCCCAATACCCCGACAGTTCCATGACAAGCAACTCATTTCTCCTGACGGGATCCAATCACAGATCCCGTCAGTTTACCAGCAGCCCCCGAGCTGGTTGCTTCCCTGTCTTCCACCTTTATGCTCTCCCCTTTCTCCTTTTTAAACCTCTTCAACGCTCGTGGAGTGCTGCTAGGAGCTAGCTGAAGCTGTTTACTCTCCTCCGCTGCCTTGCCATACTCCAAGAGTGCTTGCTTGACTCTGCCAGAATGCTTGCCATCTCCCTGCTCTGTTGTTCTTCTTTTGTGTTGACTATTAGTTTCATCCATTGAGCCCTCTCCAAAGGAAGCTTGCTGGTGCAGGTTCTTCATCGCCGGAATCATCTCCTCCGAAGGTAGCTGATCAACAACTATATCAGTGATAACCTCCCGAGACAACTCACCGTACTGTTCTGGACCTGTCTGTGCCGAAACCTACAAATTACGGGCCTTCTCTGCAAGCAGTTGATCTATCTTCCCATCTCCTGCTTTCTCCTTGGACTCAAATCCATCATGTGCATCCACCCTCGGTGGGATCGCCTCATCCCATTGCTCACCCTTCTTCTGTCTGGACGATGTAGAGCTTGCACTACCAGCACTCCTGAAGGACAGCTTGTGTGCCACACCTGAAGACTGCACTGGTTGTATTTTACTGATCTTCCTCTCAAACGGTTTCAAAGGGGAGCAACGCAGGTCTGCAGAGAATTGGAAGGGTTGTCCACCTGTGAGTAGTTTCTTTTCGCAGTCCTTGTCTGAGTGACCGATAAACCCACAGATGAAGCAGAAGTGGGGCACCCTCTCATACCGTAAGTCAAAATGTCTGACAACCTCACTACCTTGCTCCTTGATCTTAATGGCAAGCTTTTTCCGGAGGGGGCGCTTAACAGGGAGATCCACACGGATGCGGAAAAAATCATGTTTATTACGGCCGTCATTCTCCACATCCACCTCCCGAACGTGACCAAGCTTACTACCATAGAGATTTCCTCTTTCCCTCGTCATCAACACCAAGGGCAGATCATAGATTCTAACCCAGATGGGTACCACCTCAAGAGGTACCTGCGACGGGCTTATAATCCCATCAAATTGGGCCACCAATAAGGCGTCCCCCCTATGCAGCCATGGACCCCCTTGAACTACAAACTGATAGTCACCCTCAGATGTAAAGGTAACGATGAACAGATTATCTCTGAGCGACTTATAACTCATACCAGATTTCAGCCTCCATGCTCTGCGCATATCATCAAAAAGAGCTGTGGGGATTGGTGTGCGCATTGAGTAATACCTTGATAGGATTGTCCATTGACCCGCAAGCTTGACTTCTTCATCTTCAAGATTCACCTCAATTGCATCTTCTTCTTCCTCATAGACTTCTCCCTCCGTGAAGGTTCCTGGACCTTCAGTGTAGAAACCTTCAGCATCACCCTCCAGGGTACCATGGGAATCCCTATCCCGACTGCCTTCTCCAACCTCCTGAGATGCAAGTACCAACGCCGAGGCCATTGGTTTCCCCTTCGCCGATGGATCCCCCGGCGGCTGTTGAGAACTTTCGATCACAACTTATGTTGTTGGCTTCGGACGGGTAATCATCTTATCGAGGATCCTTTTATCACCCCCACCGCCAACAGACGCCATGATTGTACTTTTACAGCCTTTCCAAGCAAACCCTAGGAACCGAATATGGGGAGATATCTTCTTGGAAGACAGGAGGATTGACCGCCCCCCGGACGACCCTCCTCCTGTTTTATATGATAGAACCTCCGAGTCCGGATCTTTGACGAACTTCCACCATGGGTACCAACCAAAACCATATCTTCTTTGTATTCCATATCCAATTACTGCAGGTTTGTTGCAGATATCCCATAATCGAACCCACCCTATAGATGTATCCTTATCTGTTCTGGACAGGAATTTCAGCGTTTGGAGATTGAATGCTGATCCGATCACCAGGAACAAAGTTGATTTCTCCGTAGAAAAGCAGAAACAAGAACAATCCGAAAGCACGAGCGAAAGCCCGGCCAAACTTACCATCAGATCGGAGTAGAACTCCATCCAAATCCATCGCTCTCCACGAACAATGGCCGCCGCCGTCCGATCACTCGGGCGTCGCCAAAACCCTAACATCCGGGAAATCAGGATATATCAACTAATGAATAGTTTTTTGTTCGTGATATCTTGTTATATAGATTTAATTACAACGAATGCAACAGTGCAATCAGATTGTAAATTGGATAAATGGTTTTCGAGAAAAAATAGTTTGAAGCTTGTCACTATCCATGTACCTCTCTCATTTGGTACATAAACTTTTCTTGTTGTCGCTCTTCTCTACATGCGTATGTAATAGTTTTTTTAATCAGATGGACATAAAGGGGTGGATGTGGATCCACCAGTAGAACAGACGTCCGACGAAAACAATCGCATCGTACGTCCGATCCGTAGTCGTCTAAAAAAAAAAGAGGAAATCTCACCTGGACGTTGTGTACTTGTGTCGGAGAAATGCTTCAGCGCCTCACCGTTGACAGCGCCGGGGCGGAAGACCAATTCTAGCCGCACGATCAGCCACGTGGCGGAGATCTAACGGCCACACCTCATCAGCACCAGAAAAAATAGCTTTAGCTTAGCGACGAGCGCGCGCCACCGCCCGAGCACGAGAGGCCGGCCGTTTCCCGCCCTAAAAAAAGCCCGCGAACCCCCACAATATATACCGCTCCCGCCACCGCCACCCTCTCCCTCGTCGCATCGCACCATCAATCAATCGATCGATCGATCGCGTCGCCATCGGCAACGCCACCGCACGCAAGCAGCAAGCAGCTGATCTCTCGCTCGATCGATCGATCTCGGGAAACTTGGATTTATACCCATGGCGCCTCGCGCAGCGCTCTTCCTCGCCGCGCTCCTCTTCGTCGCCATGGTGGTAGTGCCGGTGGCGAGGGCGGCGGAGGAGTCATCCGCCGAGTCCCCCTCCTCCGAGTCCTCCTCCGAGTCGTCGTCGTCGTCCTCCGCCGACGCGCCGGCGGAGGGGCCCGACGGGCCGGCGGCGGCGCCCGGCCCCGGCGAGGGGATCGACGGCCTCTCCGACGACAACGACGACGACTCCTCCAACTGAGCCCGGCCGGCCGGCCGGCCTCGTCGACCTCGCGTCGTGAACAATCCGTTAATTTGATTGATGATCTGGAGCGATTAATAAGGATATATATATATGGTCGTCGTCCTGCGATTTGATTACAACTTGTTCTCTCCTCGTTTTTTTTTTCGGATGAAATTTTCTCATTCTCTAGATTAATTAGTTTGTAATCGCAGCCTATCGTATTTGTGTTCTTTGGACTTCATTTCTCCTGTAACAGTTTTTAATTGTTGTCTACTAATTTGAGATATGGACAGTTTTATATTTGTTCTAGCATATTTCAAAGCACAAGTATCAAATAGCTTGCCGCTGTATTGGGCCGATATAATGCTCCAGCAGAAGCTCGCATAATTCGGCCTGCTCGTCTGGTCTCTGCTTGAAAGCCCAATATGGCACAAGAGCCCATAGGTCGGATTACAGGATTTAAATTTAAAATTCGTTTGGAAAATAACACGCGTGCCTGCAGCCTGCTGCTAGGATGGTCGCGCAAAAAACAAAAACTATCTGTCTTTCGATTTGTATGAGCTACCTATATTGTTACATTGGATCGTGTAGTTGAAATACGATTATGCGCAATCCAAATCCACTCGAAATTGATTTTTAGGCGATCCAAATTCATACGAGTACATTCGGTCTGTTATTCGGATCCGCGCCATCAACTTCAACTTACAATGAACGGATTTAGGTTACCATTAGGAGGCCTTTCTCGGAAAAAAAACACACCTAAGTGTCAGGCGGTGGCATGACCTATGCAAGATTTCGTAGATTTGCGATGAGTTTTTTTTTCCTTCAAAATAGCCATCACGCATAAGCCTCTCCAAGGAGCCAAAAACAACTGTGAAAATGGAGAAAAACGCAATCGAAGAAGGTGTTACTGGCTCTGGTATATCATGTTTCAATCAACTGTTTACAACCCTGGTCATCTACAATTCTTCTCGCAAACGAACTCCGTGATGGATTGGACATTTTCTACTATAGTGCGCGTCATCGCACACATCATATTGGCTAACTCTTCCGTTTCAACATACAAATAGTTCTATAGATTTTAAAAATACATTAAGATTTAGTATAAAGAGTATGTGACTGTCAATATTGTATTCGTTTATGGCATCCCGTCTCCCTAGTTACGCCCCTATTGTCATGGGAGTCAGATCTGGTGTCGTAGTATAGAGTTTGTGCCGTGAACAGGAGGTAGAGGAAGAGGCCACGAGACTATTTTTGTCCACCACCCTCGTCGATAACACGTGCTCAGGTTGGATCCAGTGGCAAGAAGGATATCAATTGCTACCGACAATTATTAGTTGATAATATTAAAGTATCGGATCTGATACCTAACAGGTATTATATCATTTGGAACATAGACGTTGTGCAATAGCAACCCTCTAAGGTGTTTAACATGTGAAGTGGAGAGAATAGTTTCTTGTGCATTATGACAACAAAAGATGATACCATACCGGAGCTTGCTAAATCCTTCTCTACGCTGCGCAGTGGCTCTCACTCGCGACGAATGTTTCCAAAAGGCCAGCTTCAATTCTTACTATTTACTCCGATCTATTTCACAATGTAATACTTTCTAGCATTATCTACATCATATATATATTAATAAATCTAAACACATACATATGTTTAGATTCATTAACATCTAAATAAATATAGGCAACACTAGAAAGTCTTACATTGTGAAACGGAGGAAGTATCATGCAGAGAGTTAAGTCGTCGTTGATGGACCGATCTTTAGTTGGCATAGTGATTAATTATGTTTGTCACGTGTCGAATGTCGCAACTCATTTTACTAGCTCGGTCTTGTGAGTTGTGCGCATTCTAGTAATGGTATCTATCGTAATGTTATCCCAGAGTGTGTTCGGAGACACTGTGTAATGATTTATCATAATCAATAAAGCACAACTTCCTCTAAAAAAAATTAAAAGTTTTATGATTAATGATCGTGTCCTCGTTCGTAGCCCTTGACATTCTGCACGTGCACAGCCACATCAAAAATCATGATACATCATACCTGCCATCCACGCATCTAATGCTGGCATATGCCTGCCATCCACAGTTAATTAAGTTAGGGTTCCAAATTTTTTCTTCAAAATTTTAACTTTTCCATCACATCAAAACTTTTCTATACATAAACTTCAGACTTTTCCATCATATCGTTTCAATTTCAATCAAACTTCTAATTTTAGCGTGAACTAAACACACCCTATATGCTCATGAATGAAACTTTTGGTTTCCCTATTATTTTTTTTAACTTTTTGTTCAGCCATACTCCATTAAAAAAAATCAACGTAGGTAATGATTTAACACCACCTAATTTATTTTGAACAAGCTCATATATCCAATTCATTAGACGGTTGTATCATATCTTCACCTAAATTAGTACTCCCTCCATATATTTTAATATTTTAATGTATGACGTCGTTGACTTTTTAACCAACGTTTGACCATCGTTTTATTAAAAAAAAATTGTGTAAATATGAAAATTTTTATGTCATACTTAAAAAACATTTCATGATGAATCAAGTCATAATAAAATATATTATAATTATATAAATTTTTTAAATAAGACGAATAGTTAAACGTTGGAAAAAAAATCAATGGCGTTATACATTAAAATATGAAATATAGAGGTACTACCTCAGTCCCAAAATAAGTGCAGCCATAAATATCCGTGTTTAGCGCTTTGACCATCCATCTTATCTGAAAAATTTATGAAAAATATTTAAAAAATTAGTCACACATAAAGTATTATTCATGTTTTATCATCTAATAATAATAAAAATACTAATCATAATCTTTTTTCAAATAAGACGAACGGTCAAACGTTGAACATGAACAGTGCTAAAACTGCACTTATTTTGGGACGGAGGGAGTAGTATTTTTTTAGAGAGGAGTAAGCATTACCACGGATCCACCGGGTGACCACTCATTCAGACAAACCAAGTTAATCCGTCCTTCCCGCTTCGCACGCGCGCTCGACCACCCGCGCGCACCGGCGAAACATACGGCGCGGCTGCTGCACGCGCTTCGCCTCCGCCCTCCTCCTCCTCCCATTCCGGCGATCTCCTCGCCGCCCAGATATACACCACCACCACCCTCCGGCCCGATCGAAACTGGCATTGCGATTTGCGAATCTATCGACGCCACCGATCGACCTACGCCTGCAAATTAAATTCCGCAGCTAGCTAGCAACAACAACTCCCGACCGGCCGCGGCCACGACGCGCGCACGGACGGACGGACGACGACATGCCTCGCGCACTGATCGCCCTCGCGTCGGCTGTCCTGCTGCTGGTGGCCGCGGTGGCGCCGCCGCTCGCCGCCGCGGACGACGGCGGCGCCGGAGTCCCGGGGGAAGGGAAGCTGGAGAGCGCGGGGTCCGCGATTAAGTCGGCGGCCGCCAACGCGTTCGGGGTCGGCTCCGACATCGGCGGCGTCCCGGTCAACCCGTCGCCGGGTGGCGCCAACGCTTAATATATTTACAGTATTACAGTGGCTGTTTCCTTGTGACTTTAATTTGTCAGAGTTTTTGGAGGCCATTTCATTCCATATATACCTAATTAATTACTACCTAAATACTAGTATATGTAATTAATCACGCTTGCTTGTGTGTGTCTGATCAATGTTGCCACTTCTTGTCTGGTTCAGTTGTCTATCATATATACTTCCACCGTTTTTTAATATATGACGTTGTTGACTTTTTCTCACATGTTTGATCATTCGTTTTATTCAAAAATTTTATGCAAATGTATAAGATATAAATCACACTTAAAGTACTATGAGTGATAAAACATCTCATAACAAAATAAATAATAATTACGTAAATTTTTTGAATAAGACGAATAGTCAAACATGTGAGAAAAAATCAACAGCGTCATCTATTAAAAAACGGAGGTAGTATCAAATAAACTGGATTTGTATATGAAAACACGTTCATTTTATATGGGTTCTCTATAAGTAAACATGATAGTAATATGATAGCATATCAGAAACATATATTTTTTTTAAGTTACGGGGATGTCCCCTCATCACTTTTCAAATACAATCTAAATGGCTATGTAAAGTATCTCAAAACATTTAATAACGTTGCTACAACATACATATACCACTCCACAATTTTAAATCTAAACTCAAACTCAAATCATGAAGAGAAAAAGAAAAAGACATATCCACGAATGAACATTTATACTATTCACGCCTAGATTTTTCCTTTTCTCTCTCAACATGTAGATTGATCTCAAACTTAGATTTGGTGGAGGAAGATATCACTATAGACTTATACTTTTTTAATTTTCTTTTTTAAAAATACTCCCTCTATCCTAAAATATTACTCCTGACTGTTTCATTGAATTTGAGAGCAAAAAAATAAGTCCCTCTCTTTCAAAATACTCCCCTTTGTTTGAAAATAATTATTGTTTCAGAGAAGGACACAATCTCTAAAAATATAACTTTGGTCACTAATTTCCGTTATAAATATCAACAAGAATATGTTTTTATTGAAGTACTTTTAAAAATTAACCTTTACCTATGGCCTCCATATTTATATGGCAAATATTTTGGAAATTGTTTTAGTAAAAGTTTTAAAGTTGGCTGTTAGCTAGTCTTGTCCAAAACGTGGATTATTATCAACTTGAGTGAGTATAAGCATTTCTGTCTATGTATACAAGGTCCCAAACTATAAGAACTACTGAAGATGTATATGGACACATAGAATTGGTGTAATATATCAAAATACATAGCCATAAATGTATATTTTCAGACAATGAAGAATTCATAACCACTTTCATTGAAGTTGAGAGGAAAAAAATACATCTATTCTATAATATAAGTATTTCTAGACATGTATTTGGACAAGGCCTAAAATATAATATAAGGAATGCTTATATATATTATAACAAGAGAAATACACGACATCCGGTTGGAGGGATTCGAATCCATTTCCCGCTCGAGACGGAGATGGATTCTAATTGCTCGGATGAATGTCTACCAATTTATTGTATATCAACTAAATGATTATGAATTTTTTTTAGAAAAAAATAACAAGGTAGATTGATATATAACATATCCCTTCATAGACATACGATTTGAAATTCAAATTATATAAATTGTAGCTAAAATATTAACTTTAACCATGAATATACATATACTATTTACTGGTTATAGTTTGATTTCTTTTTTTTTCTATAACTCACAGAAACCGAATTTGAACTTGCATTTTTTTTCATTTGTGAAACAAGATATTACATACGAATTTATCTTATCAGTTTTTCTTAAAATTCTTTTATAACTGTTTAGTTGTCATGTAAAATTTCTTTTCGCAAATGCGTTGAAATAAAATAAATGGGTGGATGTTAATGTAAGTGATCAAAGATGTTTACAGCCCGAGACCACTCATGCAATCTGGCTCCGGCACATGCATGCAATTGCCACGCCATGCTCCGTGACCATCGGGTCACCACTCACCACTTCACCAGACACCTCGCCTCGTCCTCGCCCTCGTCATCCGCACATCGCTCTACCATTCTCGCTGGCTTATATATACACAGACTCCATCCACGACGACGACACACATACTCCACCAACGCACACACATCGACCGCGCCCGCCGCCTGCAGCCGCGCGCGCCGTCGCCGCCACACGACCGGAGAGCACACATGTCTCGCCAGCAGGCGGCGCCGCCGCTCGCCCTCGCCTCCGCGCTCCTGCTGCTGCTGGCCGCCGCCGCCGCGGTGGCGCCGCTCGGCGCCGCGGCGGACGGCGGCCTCGTCCAGGGCGGCGGCGAGGTCGCGAGGTCGGCCGCGAACACCCTGGCCGTCGGCGCCGACCCCGACCCTGCCTCCGCCGACGGCATCCCGGCCGACCGGGCGCCGGACGCCCACGGTTAATTAATTAATTAATCATCGCTGATTCGATCGTCTTTAATTTGTTGGTTTTACTTTTATTTCTTTTTTTTCTGTGTGTGTGATTGCCAGTGTGGTGAAGCTACTACAGGCTATATGATCCAAGAGATGTAGTACTTAAGCTTGTGATTGATCACTACTTCCTCCGTTTTAGGTTTCACGGTGTAAGATTTTCTAACATTGCTTATATTCATATAGATGTTAATGAATCTAATCATACATGTGTATAGATTCATTAACATCTATATAAATATGTATAATGCTATAAAGTCTTACATAGTGAATCGGATGAAGTATTAATTATTATGTATGTTATAGTGGGCATGTGCCATGAAATAAACTGATGGAAGTGCTCTGTAATTCTTAGTTCGATGGATTTTGTTCGTGTTTATGATGTTTTGGTCCTTTTGGATGGTGAATGTATATATAGTGGATACAATCGAAACAAGCATGCGTGTATGAGTGCCTCTGTTTAGCAAAGTGTGTTCAGACAATATTTTTGTTGAACCATACCCATATGTAATTAATTTTAACCATTGGATTAATATTCATCAGAAAATATTTTTAAGGTAAACCACGAGAAATAATCTCGAGAACAAAGAGGTCCTACTTAATATTAGGAAGAAAAAAATGACTTAATTTTCTTAAAAAAGACCCGAAAAGCATATAACTGCAATTAATTAAAAGAATCCAGCAAAACCTATACGGAGAGCGAAAAATAGAACAAATTAATGTTGCCAAGCTAGTCGCAAAACAGACAAGCAATACATACTCCTCTAGGAAAGCATAAAAATATAAATATATGCAAGTGAACACATTTGAAAATACATGGAAAAAAGGTCAACAAAAATTAGTGATTGATTTTTCATACTGGCGTCGAGTGATAGGTCTTTTCGAAAATGCTTAATCTCGAGCGTTCGACGTGGGATGAAATATCAGACGCATCATTGAGTGGGTCCCAGCACCGAACCAATCTCCCACCTTTTCCTCCCAATCCTCGAACTTATCCCCATTCCCTTCTCTCGCATCTCACTCTCTTCGTCTCTACCTCTCGCTCTCTTCGTCTTCGATGCCTTCCCGACTCCCGAGATACGATAGTAGGAGGCCGGCTTCCCAACCTCTACCACCACCACCGGCCTCGTCAACCGGTTCGGTCTCTACATCCTCGACGTGTGGTTGGCCTTGCAGCTGGTGCCCACGAAGAAGCAAGGCGTCATCCCGAAGACGCAGTGGCGACGACGCTAGACATGGCCGCCGGGGATACCTGATGTTGATGCGGTTAGTCCTAGACGAGGTCGCCCACTTCATGCCGCTAGTCGTCCGAGGAGCAGCAACCGGAGTTGACAAAGAAGACGGAGGTAGGTTTAACTTTGTGTTGCACTTTGTGTATTAAGGTGTTTCATTTTGTTTTGATTCGATGTTGCATATATTGATTCTTGATGTTGCAATCGATATGTTCTAATTGCATTTGGTTGAAACACCTCTGTTGAAGCGATGAAACATTTTTCCCTGATTGATGAAACATCTGAAACATTTTTCATCGAGAAGTGCAACATGTAAAGCATTTTGCAACAATACGGTGCAACACCGTTTGATGTTTTGCAAAATATCTAAAACATTTTTCTCTGCCAGTGAAACATTTGGAACATTTTTATTGAAATATTTTTTATCAAGAGATGAAACATGTGAAACATCCCTCAACAACTCGGTGCAACACCGTCTGACGATTTCCACAAGATCGGACATCCGATCCGTAGCAGCCTCCATGTCTTTTTCGAGGAGAGAGTAACGTATTGCTTCAGAGAGAAATGTGCACGCCATGTGAGGACCTAATGCCAGCTTCCATCCACCCAAGCCTCCATGAATCCCATACACAGAAGGAGCGAATTCTATAACAGCGGCATTATCCACGAGCTTTACTACTTAAATGGCCTTCCACTGATACAACACTGGCCTTTTCTCCTTTTAATATGTGAACAAAATCTTTTAAGTATCATATCATATTCTCTCATTGATCCCTTGCTAGATGCTTTACGTATGACACATCCTGAAAATATATATGCTTTGCACATACGACGACATTCTTATGTGTAAAGTGATGGTGTACAGGAATATAATACACTGATAATTAAGCATGGTGCTGGTGCAGAGCAGACTGTCTAGTTAGCTCTACTGTTAATTTCTCAGCGATCTGTATATATAGTTGGATTGCTGCTCTCACCTTGTGTTTGGCTGATTGGCTCATCTCTGAGTCATTTTGTGATTTACTATTAGATTGCTATACTTTACAATACCCAAGATGAGATCTGAAGTAAATTACACGTTTGAGCTCGCCAAGGTTGCAAGTGCATGGGCTGGCATAGGATTATGAATGGATGGTGCAGATTTCTTCTAATGCAATTTACTGTAGCATCTCTGCATTTTGTACTCCAATGCAGAGGATCCCAATGCGGGCTGCATGCGCATGGAAGAATGAAGTATGAACTATGAAGAATAATTCTTGTAGGCTAAGACCAGTGATCCTTGAGGTTGATGATGGCGGTTTATGACAGGAAGCAACTGTGCATTGAGCCATCGATCGATCAGACGATCACAATGACAGGAAGCAACCTGCAAGACTTGATCTGTACACGAAAACGGCAGCGGGCAAGAACACAGGAAATAGGATTTACCGCATGCATTTGTCTTTAATCGACGAGTTCTTGTATATCAGAGATGAAATGGCAATATATCGAAGTCTTGAACCCTCTTTACCCCCTACATTTCAATCATGCAGCGTTGCAGATCTTCATGTTTGTGTCCTCCACTCGACCACTCGTCCTACGTAGTGTTCTGAAGAATTTCTGCAGACCACCCCTTCATTTCCGCTTCTCTGCAACTTCAGGTGCCATTTCTTCTGAAAATGTTGGCCCATTTGAATTTTAGGAATAAAAAAAAACCATAGGAATAGGAAAAACAGAGGAATCTGACAGGAATGAAATGCAAAACAGAGTATTGCATAACACAGGAATAACCGTTTGATTGGATCATAGGAGAAACATAGAAATCAGGTGAGAGAGATAGACTCGAAGGAAATTTTCCAAGATGTTAAAGCTCTTGCTAAATTTCCTCCAAAATCTCTATAGGATTGTCCATTCCATAGGATTTTCAAATTTTTTTTGAACGACTCGCACGAGACGGTGCGAAGTTCTATTGATAGAGCATGGAAAAATTACAAGATTACAACCCTGGAGGGTCGTAACCAGGAAAAAGGAAAAAAAAACCACCACCCACTCACCGACATCGCCAACACACAAACCTAGGAGAAGGCTAGCACCGGACCGGCCGCCGCTAAGCGTGACCGACCGCCACTTAGACCAACAAAAGGACATAGACGAGATCGCCCCCTAGGGGATGCCAAAACGACGTCTTCAAGAAGAGAAGCGACGGAAAACCGCCACCGCCGTCCGTCGGGGCTCAAAAGAGCTAAGACTGGGCTTTCGCCCGGCAATCACCCTTGAGGGGTGAGACAGCACGACAACGCCCTCAGGAGGGGGAATGAACCATCGTTGTCGGTCCGACCAAGGCCTGACTGGGTTTTCACCGCTGCTCACCACCTGCGAATCCACGGCTAACGCACTGATGCTCCACCTCCACACAAGCTCTGCCGACATGTGGGACCCCTGCACCGGCGACCCTTGCCGGCCAGCCTTTGTGCGCCAAAGACCGCGCCACACCCACCGGCAGCTCCTCCACACACCTAGGTCACCTCCTCCACTGCCGGCCGCGCCTCTCGCGCCAAGCCGGCCTCCTCCACCGGACGCGCCTCTCGCGCCAATCCGGCCTCCCTCCATCGGCCGCACCTCTCGCGCCAAGCCGGCCTCCATCTCCGCCGCCCACGCCTCTCGCGCCGAGCCGGCCTCCGCTGCCATCGGCTGCGCCTCTCTGCGCCAAGCCGGTCTCCGACCCCTCCACCAAACGATGCCGCGCCGGCCAGATGCAGTCGTCTCCCACGCCCTCGGCTAGCCGTTTGAGGCCGTCATGCCTCCGGTGACGGTCACCACCACCGCAGCCGCTGCTGCCGAACGCCCAGCCACCTCGCAGTCGCCATCCTCACCTCGCACCTGACTCCTTCCCCGCTGCCGACGTCACCACTGCCTCCATAGTCATGGTCGCCGTCGCCGCTGCCACCGACGGCAGCCACCGCCTCCACAGACCGCCACTGTGCCGTCGCCATCCGCCACCAAGCAGCCAGCAACCGCCCCGACGACGCCGCCGCCGGCCTCCACGCCGTCGCACCATCGCCACCAGCCGCTGCCTCCGTTGCCCGCTCGCCCCGACGCTGGCCGCGCATCTAAGGATGCACCCACCGCCGTCTGTCATCGTCCAGCCGGATCCGGCCGTCACGGAGTCGGACCTCGTCCACCTCTGCTCCACCGGGCACCACCGTCGCCGCCGCCACCAGCAGGCCCCGCCGCCGGTCACCTCCCCGCCAGATCCAGGCGTGGATCTGGCGGCACTTCCACCGCCACCATCTCTACCAACCGCCGCTGCTCCCTCTCCCATGCGCCACTCCCTCTGCCCCGCCGGCGACGCCTCCTCCGCCCAACGCCGCGAGCCGCCATGGCCTCCGCCCGCTGCAGGAAACGGCGCCGCCGACCTCCGCCCTCGGGTCCGCCCGCGTCGGAAACCGGAGGAGCGAGAGCTGCGAGCCCCGCTGCCGCCGTCCTGGCGAGACGCTGGCTTTGCCGGCACCTCGCTCGAGCGGCGGCGAGGCAAGAGGCGAGGGTGGTGGGTTGCGGCGGCGGCTTGGGCTGTCGCCGCCCGTGCCGCCCTCACGGGGAGGCGACGCGGGGAAAAAAAGTTAGTTATAGGATTTTCAAATGATAGAATAGTATCTGAAACTCACATGTTTGTTTTACTAATTGTATGATATAACCTGACTACAAATTTCCAAGAAGTCCCAGTTTCTCAACCATAAATAGTTTTATCAGGTTATGCTAGTGAACCCTGATATCTAACAATGCAATGTTGTACCGCGTGGTATGCACACATAGTTCACCTTATGTTATTGAAATTGATTGTTCTTGGCTAGAGGTAAACTTCAACCTGGATAGATAAATCTTATGCATTTGTGTCTCAGTAATGGATTCTTGATAGATTACATTAGCCTTGAAACCCTGCTCGGTAAGTCTTTTCAAATGATAGAATAGTATTTGATACTTTATTTCAAAGACATTTGTAGGATTAAAATCCTCCAAAATTTATATGTTTTTTCTCCAAATCAAAGGGGTTAACTCTACCCGGCATGCAGTGACCCTGTGTGTGATTCCTGAATTCTTCTACAGTGACATCTGAAATTTATTACCAGTGTTGTCCCAGATAACAAGAAGCAGGTACTATTCCAGGTCTCACCGGAGAGACGACACGATGAAGAACAACTCCAGTGTTGTGCCTTCTTGCCCGAGATACGTCGGTGCACACGACTGCTAGCTCCATCCATCTCCATCGAGATGTGTTGAATTTGCTAGTAGGAAAAAGTCCACTTGAGGTTACTCATAGTGTGGTTGGGTTTCAAAACTTGTCTTTAAACCGAAATACCATATAAAACATCTCTGGTCTTGGGTCATATTAGGTTGTAAGCATTATTGCTCCTGGTTTTTTTTATATTGGGTAGGACCCAATATGATTCGATTTTGCAAGATTAGGGATGCATTATATATGGTATTCCGGTTCACGAACGATTTTGAAACTCGACGACACGATGAGGACCTCAAAGTGAACCTTTTCCTCCTGGAACCAGTGGTAGCAATCAAATATGGGCCGGTCAATTGTTCGCGGTAGAGATAACTTGGGCCGTTCGCGGTGCACCGAGATGGGCCGCCTATCACGGAGAGGAGACGGTCCATCTCGGGCGAGTCGAGCTTATCTCACTGACAGGTGGGTCCCACGGGACAGCCGAACCTCCAGGCCTCCTGGCCGTCCGATCACTTCCCCGCATCGGCCTCGTCCCCCCCTCCTCCCCACACATCCTCCGCAACGCAGCGGATTCGCCACAGATCTCTCGCCCCACGTCGCCGCCCTCCTCTCTCCAAATTCAAAAATTCCCGATCCCCTCCTCTCCTCCGCCATCTCTCTCAAACTCAACGCATCGGCCTCCCCCTCGCCCGCCTCCTCGAATGCCCAAACCCTAGCCCGATCCAGCCGCCGACCGACCCACCTCGAGGGAGCGCCATGGAGGAGCTGTTCATGCAGGTGTTCGAGCGGCGGGACTGGGTGGCGGCGCAGCTGCGGCAGCAGGTGGAGTCCTACGACCAGTCCCTCGCCTGCGCGCTCCTCGCCGCCGGCCGCCCCCCCCCGCCGTGGCTCCTCCCGTCGCGCCCCGCTGCGCCGCAGGGTGAGTTGCTTGCTGCTGCTGCTGCCCCCTTTTCCTCTCGCTCGGTTCCATTTTCCGTGGGGTTTGGGTTTGCGATTGAAGCTAGGCTTGGGCAAGTTGATGGGATTTTTTGGTAGATTTAAGGTGGCGCAGGCTTAATTTTACCTATGCTAGCTACCATTTCGGTTTAGTTTAGCGTTGCGAACATTTCGTACTGGATTAGTCTGGTTAGCGTTCTTATCCGTTGCATTTTGAAAGTTTTGGGCCTCGTAGTGCACAGATTTAGAGCTTGTTTGCTAAAATTTGGCAGTTAAAATTGCCGAAACAGCAGAAGGTCTCCAATTTCTTTTAATTATAAACCGAGGGAAAGTAGTTTGAACCAAGTTGTGTTTTCATTGGAAGGAATATAAGAGTTTTTTATACAGTAGTATATTTCGGGCCATGCATGTTGTTCGTTTTTGTTCTTATGCACTTTTCTGTTATCTTAAATTTGTTTGAATGCTGAAATGCCTCGTTGACATGCAGGGCTGAATGGCAAACCAGCGCCATCGGAGTTTGTTTTCACTGGAAGCCATATTACCACACCAGCAATCAATAGAACTGTCTATCAGCCTTCAGCTGTTCCTAGTACTTCCTTAAGAAATGTGGGGCTTCCAAGTGGATATAGCCATCTATGGACTGCTTGTAATTCTCTGGATACTGACCAACACCAAGAGGTCCAGCAAGAGCAGACTAAAGTTAATGAGGAGTTTGTCAACACTAGAGCTGAAGCCAACATGTTTTCAAGGATTCAACGTTCCAGGTCAAGGCAAAGGAATATCGAAGACCGCTTACGTGAAAGGGATGAAGCTGCAAATGGTGGAAGTAGTGATGGTTTGCAAGACAGGATGGAGAGGTCTAAGATTGCTGGCGTGCGGCTAAACAGGACCACCACATCATCATCCTCTGAACCATGTGGTGGTGATGCAAACAATTCTGGAGCAACACACCCTTTTCGAGGTCAGGAGAATGATATTTATACCAACAAGAGGAACTCAGTTGAATTCTTAAAGTGCAGTAAAGAGGGTGGTCTTGGAAGTGGAGTTCACTTAGATTGTTCCCCATCTCTGGTTCTAGAAAACAAGATTGTTAGTTCTGACAGTCTCTTCAAGGTTCCTAATGACTGCTCCGCTAGAGATTCATCAAGAACACAAGTTGCAGATAGCGTGTGCCATCCCCTCCCTGAAACTCATCTATTTGTTGAGCCCAAAATTCTTCAATTTGAAGGTGTTGAATCAGTATGCATGAATTTTTCAAGTGAAAAAATGGGGCAGCCACTGGAAAGTGCCCATCTTGATCTTGCTGAGGCACATCCTTTAAATGAAGACCCATCTTCTACTGGCTGTTATCATGTACCTTGTTCCGTGGGAAGCTCATTGGTTGATGGTGTTGAATTGGGACTTTTAAGCACTGACAGTGCAACATTGAAGCAGCACCTTCAATGTGGCAGTCCTGATCTTAGTCCCACACATTCTCGAAACAAGGACCCGTGTCCAACCATTTCCTCTGAAGTACCTAATTACACGAGTGAACCATTAGTTGAGCAGGATACATATTGTAATCCTGAAATCAATTCTCTGGAAGGACCATGTTCTAAGGTCAGCCAACTGCTTGAAAAGGAAGAAACGAAGGCATGCCCCGATGCCAATCCACTGCTTAAAACAGATGCATTGCATACCATAGGAAGCACCGAAAGAATAAGAAATCTTGCCTCTCGGAACTCCACTCCTCTTGAACAACGGAGCTCTGATCCTCATGTCTTGCCTTGTCAACGCAGTAGATCTGTGCAACCAGCTGACAGTAGTTCTCGGCCTCCTCTATCAACAGGAATATTGCCGGACAGTTTGTTGGAAGCGGTTGGTTTAGACCACCTTCCGCATTCAAATGATACAAATAGCCAATGCTCCCCATCTAGGTCTGCTGCAAGCCCAGATCTGCTTCCACTTCGACTCGTTAATTCTGGTGATGTTTATCAACCGAGCTTCTCTTGTTGTAAATCACAAAATAACAAAGATTCCAATGGTTGTGCTGTTGAGGGCACCACTGTATCCATAGAGAAACCGCCGTCCCAGGAGCAATATTTATTGGATAGACCACCTATGGAACTCAATGGTTTTGCAGATGAGGATACTCCCTTGGGCCACACTCTGGGTACACATAATGAGATGCTGAAAGGAAAGAAGGCAGACGACTTGGTGAACTGCCATTCTGGAAAGCTCAACAGTTCTCAGAAAAAACCCAAGGGTTTGACTGAAGCATCTGGTTTTTCTTCCGGAAAGAATGAGTCTGCAGGGCAAAAGGTTGAAAGCAATATTTCAACTGGTGTGATGCACACAACAGAAAGGAGCAGGGGGTTTTGTGCCATGAACTGCACGGAAGATCTCCAACAAGATGGTACTGCGCTTATTACTTGTAGGAATTATCTTAATTTGTCTTTTGTAGCAACTGCCACTCTGGCACGTGCTTACATAGTTTCTAATCTTGCAGGAACAGAACAAGAAACCTCTCCTTTTGATAATGCTGTTCAAATAAATGCTAATCGATGCACCGCAGATAACAATAAGCAAATCAAATCTTTACGACCTTCTGTTCGATACTCTTTACGTAGCTTGATGTCACATGAGAAAATTAATCTGCTCCAGTCAGAAGGAAGAAGTGCTGCTTGTGGCCAGAAGAGGTCAGATGCAGATGGAGTTCAAGTAAACGGTGGCCCATCATCTAAGAGAAGAAGAATAAAGCGTCAATCAAATGCTGCTCTCTCCAGCTCTCCTAACACAAATTCATTGTCTGTGGTCCACCAAGTTGATATTGACAATCATGTGTTACCCCTTGGAAATTTCTCAGGGAAGTCTCAGCCTTCAGGCCGTTACTTCTTAAGGGATTTAGGGTCCTCTGGGAGCATGTCTCTCAAGTCAGAGGAGAGGAATGCTGTGAGTCACGGCAACATATCAGTATCTAGTATCCATAATAAAACCAGCAGTTCTCCTGAAAGATATAATAAGGCTAGTTTAGATAATGAAAATGGGAATTCTCCAGGACAGTTACAAAATACATTAGATGTTGTGAAAACAACCGCTGCTTTGCCTAGCTGCTATGGTACCTTAATTGATAATGAGAAATCATGCGCAGAAGAGGTACGTGTTCATCAAGTGCTCTGTTTCCTTTCTGTTCTGAAATCTTACAAATTTTAGTTCACCTGAAGAGCTCAATCATACTCTTCTATTGAGATAATATGCAGCTAAGTACTGAACTAGTGATGCTCAGACTGGCCGTAGGATCTGTTATACTTTTACTTTCTAATAAATCTTGAATATACAGCCATGTAGCCTGTCCATTTTGTTGTTTTGGAGTAAGTGATATGGGTACAATTAGATCATAACTAAATTTTGCATACAGCAGGGCAATGGTAATGTAGTTTTGCATGTAATATTGCACTCATTTTCATAAAAAATAATTTATTAGCATTTTTAGCCAGTATGTTAGGCGATGCTCACTTTTTTGGTTGTGAATCAGAATTTAATGCACTGAAAAATCGTCTTTGTTGGCAGGAAAATCCTTGCTTAGAAGGTAAACACGCAAATGATACTTGTTCGAGTGTGGTACACCAGCAAATGACTCTTCAGATTGATAACATTGCATCTCAGAGTGTAATATTAAATTCAGAAAATTATTCTAGAGAGAACTCAATTACTATATCTGCAAGTTATGTTTCGGATCAAAATGGTGATCAAGCACATGCACCAAGTGCATTGGTTCGTGAGAATTTAAGTTATGGCTCCAGTGTAGAACTTGACAGGAGATGTAAAAGTAATGGTTCAAAGGGAAGTTTGTTGTCTGGTGCTGCTATTACTATGCAAGATGGGGATGAATCTGTTGACTGTGATGCCACAATGCCGGAATTCGAGCGATTTGATGTTCCTATCCAATTTGACAGCCCATGTGCTGAGACAAAGACATCTGAAGCCCTTTGTGAGTCCAGAAAATTAGTCACCCTCAGTTCAAAGTTCTCAAATTATGACACTAACACAGAAAGTGGTGTGAGCCACCTATTGTCAGCCATGTCTGGGAAGCCTATAAACTTCCCTGATGATTTGCAACAATACAGAGCAAATAATGATAGAAGCATAACTGACATTTTTGGAGCATGTGGATTGGGACTTGATGATTCCTTTTCTATTTATGATGTCACAGCTTCATGTTCTTCAAATGGTAGCAGTGCAAAAGAGAACAATGACAATCCATTGACCCCATCAGTTGAAAAATATGGCCTGGGGAAACTGTCAGCTAGATCTGGATCTAGTTCAGAACATATGGGCTCTATTCCTGAACTAGAATGCTTCCGAATTGATGAACATAGCAGCATCGCAGAAGAAAATGAATACCAAGGGATGTTACATGGATCTGCTGGTTTGAGTTACTCGCATCAGTTGCCATCTGGCAGAAAAGCACTTCAGGATATCACTGGATTATGTCAAAACACTGTAAATTCTGCCTCTCTTTCCTCAATATTCTTGGATACAGGTAATGAGCTCAATCATCAGACAGATCTCATAAATGGTCATGCCAACGATAAGCCAAAAAACAGTCTTGCTGCTTCAACCAAGAGAGAGAGAAAAATATCTGATTCCCTTCATCCTAGATTAAGGAGGACAGAACTACATAACAGAAATGGAAGACACCAGAGTGAAGCCAATATTGACAAACAATCTAAGCCTAGCAATATTGTTGCCAATGTGACATCATTTATACCTCTTGTAAAACCAAAGTTGCAACCTACAACAGCATGTGGTAAGTGCTAGTACTTTTAATATCATTGTTTATTTAAAAAAATGTTAGTCCATTTGGCTAGTGATGCTTTGAGCTTAAAAAGAATTTGAATGGTGCTCATATATAGCTTTCATAAATTGGACTTCTGTCTTGTAGTGAAAAAAGATGTCAGAGTGAAGGCACTTGAGGCAGCTGAAGCTGCAAAACGCCTTGAAGAAAAGAAACAAAATGAACGTGAAATGCGCAAAGCAGCTGCAAAACTAGAGCGTGAAAGACTGAAGCAAGAGAAAGAATTAAAGCAAAAACAGGAGGAACAAAAGAAGAAGAGAGATGCCGATGTGGCTGCTAAAAAACGGCAAAGAGGAGAGGAGGAAAGGAAGGAAAAGCAGAGAAAAAGAAAATGCACTGAGGAGGCTCGGAAACAACAGAAGCAGCCTACAGAAAAAAGTCTTGCTGTGAATGATGAGAAAGATGTTTGTCGAAAAACATCTGTGAGTAGAAGCAAAATATTTTATTTCTATCAGTGTTTCCTAGAACATGTTTTTGTTACTGAATACATTAATTATTGCAGGATAATATAGAGCTGACAAAACCTGATGGGAGAACTACCGAACCTGCTATGACCAATATTCCAAACAGTCTTGAAGAGGTACGCTTTGTTTATTTAACTTCGTTGTGAAAGAGGGGCATAGATAGAAATCTGTATTTATTGGTACTGGTCAATTATTGTGTATATTACTGTGTAACTGATGTCGTAATTCATAAGCCTTAGAATGTGGGCAAAATGTTTAGATACACACACCAATAGTTTTATTTGCAGATGGAGCAAAACAACTAAATGTTGCCAAGTTGACCCGTTTGCTCTTCATAGCTTTTGTTCTAGAGTCAACAATAGTTCTAACAGTGTATTACTTCCTGTGTTGTTTCTGAAAACTTCTTTCAGTCATACCAAATGTCTCCCTATAAGGATTCTGATGAAGAGGATGATGATGATTTTGAACATGAGCAAGAATCCAGACGTAGGAGGAAATTTATTCCTTCGTGGGCTCGGTATGTATCCATCTAATCAAATCCCCTGTTCAAAATTGCAGCCTTTATTTGAGAAAAAGTTGTGTGTTTGATGTGATGCACTGATGCCTAATGTGAAAGCTCATCACTTGTGGGAAACAAATGTAGCTTCCGTATTATGTCAAAGATTACATGATAGTCTTTTGAGCACGATGTGAAGTGACTATGGAAGCTTCTTTACATAAATGTTAAACATATTTTCTATTTTAACACTGATTAGCATATTGTTGCTATGGAAGCTTCTTTACATAAATGTTGAACATATTTTCTATTTTAACAACTTGCATACTTCTTTTTGCTGCTTGTTGCTTCTGTGTTCATAATGAAGTACTGGTCCTCTAGCTTTTCTATTTACAAAGTTGTCTGATTTGCAGGAAAGAAAACTTGGATAAACTCTTGTTGTCCAATCAGAGTTTAGACCCTAGAGAACTTTTTGCACAAAAGTGCTCCTTCAACTTATCTGATGGTAACCTCCAGCTCATCTCTGTCATAAATTTATTTCGGTTATTACTGCTGCTGAATTTGTCTTCTCTTGCCTGTTCTCTCCAGTTCTTTCAGTTCACATACCACAACGTGGCTTCAGATAAGTTTCCATTTGACGGACTATCGGCAATACGTCATTGCCAAATTACATCATCAACAGTTGTGCATATGCTTGGACGGCATTTTCTTGTATGCTAGAAATTAATCAACGTAGCAGAAAATTTGTTTCTTGTGGAATATTAGAATTTAGCAGGACATGTGTTGCCACATTTGTATACATATTTGGGCATAACCAATTTGTACCAGCCGAGTTATGTTTATGAAAACCTTTCTGGGCAGTACAGTAATTACCGAGATTATGGATATAAACCAGACGGCAAAGTGACCACGACAATACATTTGGAAACGAAAACTACGTGATTTTGGCACACAATCTCTTCAAAGTGACGAAATCAACTCGTGTTGGAAGTGAAATGATTGAATGAGAGTATGGGACTGTGTAACCAACAGTTTTCTGTTCTTTCGAGAGATACAACCAGAAAATCAAAAGGTAAACGAAAAGTTTTCAGGAAGAACTTCTGTATGTCTCCCAGTTTTCAGGAAGAACTTCTGTATGTCTCCCAGTTTTCAGGAAGAAGAATAGCCGTTAACTATGGTCGTCGTAGCTTGCCGCTTGCTCCGGCGCTATACCTGTTCGCCACCGCCTCATCCGGCCGGGACCGTGTCCGACCCTCGCCGGCGATCGCCGTGCTTGTCCCGGTGTCCGGCGGTGTACACTCGAGTTCGTAGCGCACAAAAAGTATCACAACAAATATGAAACATTAATTATATGAGATTTGTTCCGGTCCAACAAAATATACCTCGAGATACCGATACTTCGAGGTACTTTTTGCTGAACTGTAGCAAATCTCCGTACTGAGATGCACGATACTTCGTCGATGGCCATGGCGGAGAGACGACGGCCGGGGTGGCGAGATGGACGGCAATGACAGATAGATCAGAGAGCACACGGCCCTGGCAGAAGCGACCGCCGTCGTCGCTGCTGCCGGGTTGTGCTCTCTCTCTTCTGTCATCACTCTCAAGTCTCAACTGCCCCCCTCCCCCATGACATCCTCCTCCATGGCTCAATCGTTTGAATCCTCCCTAAACAAAAACACGAAAAGAAAAAAGAAACAAAAGAAAGAAAGAGCATGATCAGTCAGACTGAACAGACTAGACTCACGATGCATTCCTACAATTCTACCCATGCATCATGCATTGTTCACAAGTGAAAAAAAAGGAGATGCAGCTCAATTAACTTTTTCCCACTGGATCACAGCTCCTGCTCGTCGGATGGCACGGCGAGACGAATAGACGATAGTTGTTGCCAGCCACCAGTGTGCGATCGAGTTTGTCATGTGTGTGCCGCAACAGTGTAAGCTCTCGCTCTCGTGATGGGGGGTGTTGCTACTTTAACTCCAGGTTTCCCCGGAACGCGGCGTGAACGTGGCCGCGGCCAGGGGCGCGCCGCGCGCGGCAGTGGCTATATCTATATGCGTGGGCGCGACGGCGACGCCATGGCGATCGAGCGCGCGCGCGCGGGGCATGGCGCTGGCACGCGACGGGGACCAGGCATGCCCCGCGCGCGCGCGCGGCGATTAATTTCGGCGTGGGCGCGCGCGTGGTTGGCCCTTGGCCGGCCTGGCCCCTGCGCTGCGCAGGCACAGCGCAAACTGTAGCGGCTCGTGCGCGGCGCAGGCAGGCTGCTCGCGGCCTCGCGTCGAGAGCGGCTTTGGGTCACGGCCATGGCGCTGCGCGAGGCGCTGAGATGGGCGATCCGGCAGACAGCGTTGCGTGTCCCAGCTGTGCGCGTGGGTCTCCGCAGAGCCCGTCGTGGTAACTGGTAAGTGGCGTTAGGGATGAAAACGGAGCTGTTTGTTTTTTGTCTGCTCCGGTGAAAAATGAATACGGATACCGTATGTTTGTGTGTCGGTCATATTTAATCCTTTTTTATATTTTGACATAATTCGTACTCCTCTCTGTTTCAGGTTATAAGAGTCAAAATCAAACTGCTTTAAGTTTTAGAAAAAAACAGTAATATTTTCAACCCAAGAAAAATTTATTATGAAATAGATTCAATTATTGATTTGATGAAACTAGTTTAGTATTATAAATATTATTATATTTGTCTATAAATTTAGTCAAACTTAAAACAATTTGACTTTAATCAAAATCAAAACGTCTTATAACCTAAAATGGAGGGAGTATTTATTTTTTATCTGAGCTATTCGTGTTCGTTTCTATGTCTAGCAAAATTTACGAAAATAAATATGGTATGAATATCAACTGTTAGTATCCGCTCCATTTTCATCCCTAAGCGGCATAGCGCTAGTGTAGCGTGCCACTTGCAGCGGCATATGTGAGTGTGTCATGTAATTCTCACTTGTGGGTGATAGGACCATCTGTGCGAGAAAAACTGTGAATTGCGATCGAAGCAAATTTTAATGGAATTGTAACAACAAAAAATGTAACGTAGATGAAGTTGACCTCTGTAGTAAGAGTCCAGCAATTCGTATCGATGTAAAAATTTGTTGTTGTGGTATTAGTCACTGACGTGACCGTCCGATGAGCTGACGTCATTCGGACGGCGGCCGCCACCGGCCACGGTGGCGGTCACCTCCCGGAGCATCAGCCGGAGGCATCTCCTGTACCCGCCGACGGCCATCTCGACGAGCTCGACGGACCTCGCCTTCTCCACCTCCGACTCCCGCAGCGTCTGCTCCATCCGCGCCACCTCGCCGGCTCTCCTCCAGGCCTCGCCGTCGCGCACGCCGGTGAAGCCCACGCCGCCGTCGCGTGGCCTGACCATGTCTCCGGCGGCGGCGTCGGCGGCGGCGGATTTCTTGATCACCATCACGTCGGTCACCGCGCCGCTGATCCGGAACGAGGCATCGAGGAGCAACCCGCTTGGTATGTCCCAGACGCTGACCTCGCCGTCCTCCGTGCACGTGACGAGGTTCTTGCTCCCGTTCGCCATGCCGACGCCGACGAGGGCGGCGTTGGTGTTGCCGCTTGCGTGCCATGACGAGCTCGTGATGGCGGCGGGGCTTAGGGACGCGACGTGGACGCGGCCGTCGGAGCCGCCGGCGAAGAGGCGGGCGGCGAGGTGGTCCAGGGTCAGCGAGAACGCGGTGCATGGGAGCGTGAGGGTGCGCAGGTGGCTACCGTCCTTGAGCGTCCAGACCTTGCACGTGCCGTCCATGGAGGCCGTGGCCACGACGGCGTCGCACCCGCCGCGCCCGCACGCGACGCAGGTCACCGGCGCGGCGTGCGCCGGCACGCGGTAGAGCGAGAGGTCGGCGGAGACGCTGGCGTCGTCGGCGTCGGCGTCGACGTCGAGGACGGAGAGGAGCACGAACACGGCTACCTCGCCGTCGTAGCCGCCGGAGACGAGGAGCGAGCCGTCGTCGCTGAGCTCGAGGCACGACACGGGGGCGCTGCCGCCGTGGGCGCGGAAGGAGCGCGCGACGTCGCCCGACGGGAGCGCGATGGCGTGGACGCGCCCTGACAGGCCGCCGGCGAGGAGGTGGGAGTGGGAGCCGCCGCGCGGCGCCGCGACGAGCGGCGCGACCGGCTCGGGGACCGGCAGCGACCGCGCGGGCGCCCGCGACCACCAGTGGAGGAGGAGCACGGAGCCGGCGCCCGTGACGGGGCAGACGTGGGACGCGGCGACGAAGGGCGCCGCGGCGCCCGGGGCAGCGACGACGGCGAGGCCGTGCCGCGACGTGTTCACCGGCGCCGGGAACTCGGCCACGACGTGGCCCGACACCGCGTCGTAGGCCGTGACCGGCCGGCCATGGCAGGCCGCGAGGATGAGCTCGCCGTCGCCGGCCAGCTGCTGGGAGGAGGAGGAGGAGGAAGAGGACGCCGCCATTAGCACGCGGCGACCCCGCCGTGCTGCGTGTCGCGGGTTCGCCGGTGCAAACTGAAGAAGGGAAAAAAAAAGGAGTGTGAAGTGACCTGTTTGGCTCTGATTATTTGCGCTTTTATAAGTATAAAAATAGTTTTAACTTGTAGCCTAAACTAGTAGCCGTTTCATTCAGAGCTTTTCCAAAACGGTAAGCTAGCTTAAAAGCAAGCGATATAAAAGTACAAAATCAAAAAAATTGGGCTTAAAAGCCTAAGCGGATAAAGTTATGCCAAAAATAAGAACTGTAATATTAGAGCAAGTTTAATAGTATAGCTAACTACTAACTCCAATTTATCTATAGCCAATTTAATAGCTTATTCATATAATAGTTACATACTACACTATCAATAACTGGTCCCACCTATCATACACACACTGCATCTTGGAGTCCATACTATAGCTGGCTACAAATCTGTAGCCCACTGCTCTTCTCTCCCCTTATTTATCTTTTTAAAATATATTTGCAGCTGACTTATAGCCTGTATCTGCTCTTAAAAGTAGGTCTCAGTAACTGTAACATACCTCTATGTTTTTTACTCCTTGAATGATAACAAGGATCATGAGAAAAAGAAACTTGCAATTTGATAATGTTATACACTTATAGAGTATGTGCTTAACGGTGTCTTGTTATACTTTGCCGTTTACACCGATGATTATTTGCGTTCTTAACATTTTAGGGCTTGTTCAATTAATCCCATATAAAAATGATTAAGAGGATTGAACGTGATTAATTCCACGCATTGCTCTGATTCCTACAATTTGCGGCCCATCCCGTGAAAAGCTGGATCAGCTTTTCAAAATCCGGCCCATAAATTTGATGGGCCCTAAATAAATTCGTGTCCTCCACGAGGAGAGTATATGGGCCTCCACGAAGATAAGCCCGGCCCAATTTTATCGCTACGATACTTCTCTATCACCACTCCTCGTCTTCCTCCTCGCCTCATCTCCGCTCCGCTCCCCACTCGCGCTCGAGACGCCATCCCCAGCCAAAACCCCGAGCGAACGATGGAGGGAGGAGCCCTCGCACTCCCGCACTTCCGCTCGCGCGTCGGCATCGGCTCGCCCATCCTGCTCTCCGCCGACCCCGGCGCCGCCCGCAGGAGCTCCGGCGCCTCCGGTAGTACCCCGCATTTCCACGGGATTGCTCATTGTTTGGTTAATCGGGGCTGTCATTTGTAGCTTGCCTCTCATGGGGGATTTGGTTGGTTGTTGTTTTTTTTTATGTGGAAGGGAGGAGTAGGGTTTCGAGGGTTAATCCAGGAGCGTATCCGAGAAGTGCAGGTAAATTGAGGGGAGTTGGAGGTTGCTGCAGGCTGCAGCTTCGTCGTGCTGTTTGATTGGTTAATTATGGCTTTGCCGCTGATTTACCTGATGGATAAACTGTAAATTTGGTCTATTCCATTTGTTCTGCGAAGGGAGAGGTAGGACTTGGAAGCGTGACAGCCCGGAGGCTCCACCTCGCCGATCAGGTAAAAATGCTGCTTGGTACTGAGAATCACTCGTGTAGCAAAGCATGTTTGGTTGACTGATTAGGCACTAGGACAGTGTTTTCCTATATGAAATTGAACCGTGTCACTGGCTGCATGACATTCAACTGCCTTATGTCACATGTGGCAAACTGGCAATTAATGGAATGAAGATATACTCACCTAAATTCAAAACTAGTTGCACAGCGGTAAACTTCACATGTTTGATTATGTGTACAGAAGGGCTGATGGCCTGATGCATTTTGTAAAGTCGGCAATTCTTGCACCTGGAAGTCACTTTTACAAACTTTTGGAATAGTATTTGCATGTGTTATACAAAAGTCACACATATGCTTATTGGAGTAACTAAGGTGGACTTGCTGCCTCTAGACTCATTTTCTGGTAAAAGAACAAAAATAGTAAAGGAAACCCATGCTTGGGGAAAGTTAGGTGAACTAGCAATCCCTTCTGTCATGTATTCTCGACTGACGCCACCTCAGATACTTCAGTTGTAGATTTGAGTACTGAGCAAAAGGTTACACTTACACAGTGAGATAGTTGCCACTTTCATGACCTTAAACTTTAGAACATTGTCATGTGTGTCTGGAAGTGATGAATTGTATCTTTCTAATCTCAATCCAGGAACCAGGATTGCTACATCTTACATACTGAACGTACTGTGCTAAACTTGTGTATTGTTTGTTTGCTTGTCTACCTGCAAGCACTTGTATTCGTCGCATCCTGAAAGCATTGTTGTTTGTTGTTGGTGTCTGCTGACTTATCGTGCAAGTGATGTGAGTCTTTACTAATCCAAACATTCTATCTTTTTCAGGAATTACTAGAGTTCCAAATCGTAGTCCTGAGATGCCTACTGAAAGAGCAGGTATCTCATCACTACTTGAATAACGAGAGCTATTCACTTCTTTAACCCAATTCGTTTTTTCTCTTAGGGAGGACTAAGGTTTCAAATGTAAATTTGGAGGTATCTCATCACAGAGCAGGTAAAACATTAATGATATGGTACTATGTTAGCAAGAAAATTTAATGGTTCTTTGTTGTATCTATTATTCATTAGTTTACTATCTAATTCTTTGGCCATGCTTTAATTTTTCATGGTTTTATTTGTCTTTATCATTTGCATTGTTTGTGTCGTTGGAGCAGTTGCAGCAGTGAGGTTGCTAAGGATTGAGAAGGGGAAGGCATTTGTGGACCTTTTGAATGAGAAAGGAAACAGTTCCGGAGAGAATGAGATGAGCTATGTCGAAAGGACACTAGGGTTCAGCATACGGTGTTTGGATAACAGGGATATAAGATTGGTAAAATTACATATTCCGCATGTTACTTTGTTATTCTATTCACCAACTTCGATTTGTTCAAGAAGGTTTGCACCATGATGGTTATAGCTATCAAACGGCAATTGTTGAGTTCTGAGTAAAAGATAAAGTAGGAGGCGGCCTGCAGAATGACCATATGTGATATTGTCCTTTCTTTATTTGATAACATGTACCTAACTAATTGTCAGTGTTGTTTTCTTCACTTATGTCTACTCGTACGTCATATGATATAATGTGTGAATGATGCTGAAATAATGTGTTCATGGGTTGACAACATTCCTTAGAAGACTTGTGTATGACTCTGTTATACTTGGATTGTAGGTTACTGTCATAGTCGCTGGAACTGTGCGTTGGAAACGGTACCTTGATTATCTGATCATGTCACTCTGTAGTGAGGAGAAGGTGTTCAGGGAGATGGAACCACTACTTCTGCAGGTTTCTTCTATATCTCTTACAGTATACTATATTCTTTATTGACAACCTATATTGAGAAAATTAGGTAAGTACCATCACAAAGCTGTGGAAATTGGAAAATACTATTGCATGTTAGATGACATGTGGAAAATACCAAACAATTTGGCCTGCAACTACAGTAGTTAACTCCACACTGTAGAATCTCTGAAGTTTAGCATTTTTGGTTTCAGATATTACGAATTGGTTTCTTTGAAATTCTCAAGCTCAATGTGCCAGCTTATGCTGCTGTTGATGAGGTATGTTGATTTTTTATATGTCCTTGGGAGCTCCCAAGGGCCTTAAAAAGCTCATGTCTATGCCAACCATATCAAATTTTGTATCAAAAAGCAAAATAATGTGGAAACGTATATCTCTTTCTCTGTATGCTTTGTTCCATAACGGAGTTTGTATGAATGCTGTTGTTTTATGGTAATGATAATACATTTAACCATGATTTCTCCACAGTTTTTGTACTTTTCCTTTTCATTTCCTGTAGTACTATTATGAGTTTTATGGATGGTGGCGATAAAAGGGCTTTTGAGGATGATTATGTTCCTGGACATGCTACATTTTTGTTAAATTATGATATTTGCCAGTATACTATATCTAACCTAATAAAGTGAATTTTATTGATACTGCTGTTATAATATTCTGAAGCTGATTCACCTGTTTCACTGATCTTTTGCATTTTGTCCTTTCTTTGAGATAGGCATGTCATACTGTTACCATTTGTATTTCTAACGTACCTGACAAATGTAAAGAATCTAGTAATGCTTCTTTCAAATCACAATTTTAGAATGTAAGGCTTGCTAAAGTAGCTCTAAGGCCTGGTGCTGGGAACCTGGTGAATGCAATTCTGCGTAAACTTCTACTGCTAAAGGTATGAATTAGAACTAATCTAGCCAGCCTGATCAGTAGGATTGCACTGTAGTATCGTTATTTTGTTTTTTCAATTCAGGAGGCAAACTCTCTTCCTCTTCCAAAGATAGAAGGTGATGATCGTGCCCAAGCTCGCGCACTTTCCATTATTTATTCTCATCCTGTCGTAAGTTTCGTTTACCCTCTAAACTTTAGTTTGCTTCTGTTTCTTAGTTTTCTGTGTGCTAGATTATTCATTAATCAACATACCAATTCCACTTGACCAATTATCAATCAATGCCCTTGATAACTAGGATTGTGGACTCACGTGGAATTCAATCTACTAGTTCTATCTGGCAAATATTTGTTAAGAACACAACAGAATATCTGTAGAAATTTCATTTTTTAATCTATAATTTGTTTTCTTCTCTGCAGTGGATGGTGAGAAGATGGATTCGTTTTCTGGGCAAAGAAGAAGCTCTAAAATTAATGAAATGGAATAACAGTGATCCTCATTTCAGTATAAGGTTTTAAGCCAAATGATGTACTGTAATATACAGTCACCTGCTCTGTTTATGCATGTCCATATGGTTGATTCGTCTTTTTTATGCCTTATATCATAGGGTCAACACAGCAAATGGGTATACAAGGGCTGATCTTATAGATCGATTGGAAAGTTTGCAGGTGCTTCCATTAAGCTTTAGTACCTTCTGCTTGATCAATATAAGGCTTAATAAAGTTCATAAGGAAGCAAGAATGAATATAACATGTACCTTGTGCTATATTATGCAATGGCATTTAATTATGTCATTCGGCTCGCTGCGGGGTATATAAATTCATTATATAGAGCTATTCAGGACTCTAATACCTTATCCATATTGATGTCACATTCTGCCTTGATTATTTGCTAGATAATTTGATTTCCTTTTATGTAGGTTCATTATGAGAAGTCAACTATGGATGAATTTGTCCGTATTCAGGAGGGTATGCAGGTAAATAAACTGATAGTTGGTTTTCAATCAACGACTAGTCACTAGTGCTGTGTTAAACTTAAATCAATATGATGTATTGACATCCTTGTATTTTTTTCTACAACGCAATATGTTCAGTATACTTACAAAATAGCACTGTTTCAAAACCTAAATTTGTTCGTGCACATAAGATATCGACATTGATTGCAGTTCTAAGAAAGTGAGGCTGAGAGGCAGATGATCTAAAAAGAACTTATAAGAAATAATCCTGAAATAATGTTTGTGCAGTAGCAAGAAAGGGGAGATAATTTTATACTTGTGATGCCTTAGATGTTTAATGATTATTATTTCTTTTACTGTTCAGAGTATAAGTATTGATCACCACATGTATTGGATCAGTCAAGTTGTGTATCTCAGTAGCTGTACAAGTTCGTTTATTTTGAAAGAAACAACTTTTTTGAAGCCTTTGTGGTTTGCAACTTTGGAGATGGAGCACCACCATTGTGCCCTTTATACATAACAAAATATCTGCATTCTTTTATATTTGCATACTTTTATATGAACATTACTTTTACTGTTCTTATTTTCTTGATAATACCTCTTGGGATATTATTTCAGAATTATCTTAATTTGTTCCATGTACAGACTGTCCTGCAAGCTGGACTACTGAAAGAAGGCATGTGTGCTGTGCAGGATGAGAGTGCAGGCAAGTTATGATAGTTATTTCTTGACCGCTAAGCATATGCCTTAATTAGTACAATAAGATTACTATATTGAAGTGATGTTGACTGCAAATAACTGTACATGGCTTATGACTATGGAAATCGTTTCAGTTTTACTGTCCGTCACTTCCATTAACCTGAGTTTTTCCTTTATCCTTGAGGTTTCCATGTCTAAGTGATAGTGGTACTTCTCATTTGAGTAAGCACTTGATACTTATGCTAAGACATGAAGAATCTATTGTAGGTCTTGTGGTGTCTGTGGTCGATCCACAACCTGGGGAAACAATCATTGATTGTTGTGCTGCACCTGGTGGCAAAACTTTGTTCATGGCAGCCCGTTTATCGGGACAAGGTAAGAAGATGGAATTGAGAGAGGGTTCAATCATCTGTTGATATCACACTCATAACAAGGTAGTTGTAGGAAACTTATTTTTTTATGAACATGGCACATATAAATAGACAATGTATTTAGCATGTTATGTCCATAAAAAATGACGCACACCTTCTTAATGAAATGAAGCACAGTTCTCATGCGTTTCCGAGAAAAAGAATGACACACTGAAATGAATTACTTTTCACATCTTACTGCTTTTATTAACTTATTATAATATTGAGCACCTGCAGACATTGGTTGTTGAGATCTAGTTAATTTGTCAGATATAAAATTAGTGAGTGCAGTATGTCCATGGAGTTAAAATGAAGAATGTGGTGGCTTTCTTAATGTTTAATTGCTATAAGTAACTGTTCACGAGTTCATCCTTTTGCATCAGCAACGCGAACCAGCATTTGTAATTTTTAGAGCAAATTCCAGGAAACCTTGCATTTTATTACAAGCAAATATAACTCACATGTCCAAAATAGTTTTATGAGAACTCATTTTGACGTTCCATCCAGAGGTAGTTCCAAGTCATCATGGATGATAGTAGCTTAGAGATTTGATATTGTGGACTTACCATGTAGTCTGATTCAGGGAAGATATGGGCACTTGACATAAACAAAGGTCGGTTGAGAATTCTCATGGAGGCAGCAAAGTTACACAATCTTGATGCTATGATCAGTGACATCCATGCTGATCTTCGACTATATGCTGTAAGTTTAAGAGGAAATCCCTTGTTTCTAAACCAGAAAATGGGGAACAAGAATATAGAAAGTCCCCATAAATCTAAGGATACTGCACTCCAATGGAAGTATTTATTAGGAATATGACTAGTGGCTGTTATGAGCTTATTACTAATCGTTATCCAAATGTATGATGTGGAGGCTTATACATATGAAAAAATTGCAGAAGGAAACCACTGCAACATTTGACAAGGTACTGTTGGATGCTCCATGCTCTGGGTTAGGAGTTCTTTCCAAGGTATCTTTGTTAAGCAAGTTCATTATTTTGCTTTCACTGAACTAATCTAAATCTTGAATAACAAATGATTGATGAACTGATAATCCTTAATCCTTTTTCCGTTCCCAAGAGGGCAGACTTGCGGTGGAATAGACAATTCGAAGATTTGGAGGAGCTAATGTGTTTGCAAGATGAGCTTCTTGATTCTGCATCAATGTGGGATTCCTTCTCCTGCAAATCTGTGAAAGAAAATTTATATGGCTAACATCTGATATTACTTTCTGGTTTTGCCTGTAGGTTAGTAAAGCCTGGTGGTATATTAGTCTACAGTACATGTTCCATTGACCCTGAAGAAAACGAGCACAGAATTGCTGCTTTTGTTCAGAGGCATCCGGTACTAGTTCGTCTTAACATCAAACGTGGATCATTTACTGGAAGTTAATAAACTCAATATTAAGTTTGATTTGAGAAAATAAGTCCCTTATGGTTTACAGTGTTGTTGGTAATATTGAGCATGCTAGTAAAACACGTGCTAAAAGCACATGATCTCTGGTGCAACTTAGACTGACTTATCTCAACTAACGAGGTAATAATCACAAATTCAGTTGCTGTTGGCACATGTTAATCCAGCTTTTGGAAGATCCCATCATTCACACTACATTTTAATATTGTTAACCCTGATAGTTCAGATGTGAGTTTAACAGTAATATAGCTTTCAAGCATATTAAGTCTCCACGAAATGTAAACATTTAAGCATGTTTTACCACTTTTTTAGTGAACCATCTCTATAACCTTGACATCATTTATATACTAAAATGGAGTTGCCACATAATGTTGTATTTTTTCGCACTAATAATTTCGCTTTTGACAATATTTTATGCTATGCATGGATATGTTGTAAATCAATTTTATGCTGTAGGACTTTGTCCTACAGAGCGTGCATGGATATGTTCCTGCTGAATTTGTCACAGATGAGGGTTTCTATTCCTCAAGTCCAACTAAGCACTCTATTGATGGGGCATTTGCTGCTCGTCTTGTTCGGTCCGTCCTCTAGGAGTTCAACAAATAGGTGAGATTTATTATAACAAAGAACCACTCTATTTTTCTAACACTGTGCATCGAGTTGCTCCTCTAAGAAGCAAATCTGCAGTATCTGCACATGCATGTAATCTCTCCTTTCACGTTACTCATTAAACAGCATGGTTCTTTGGCTTCATAAAAGAGAGAGAAGAAAATTGGTCTTTATATTCCTCGTTTCATAATTTTATATTGCTTCTCATTCTGTATGCAGATAAGCTGTCACAATGAAGAATGCTGAGGTCATCCTGATTCCTGGCAGGCAAACTGCATTTTGATGATGATGTACCACAAGATATATATGTTGAGAGCTAGAGGTACCCAAAACCATACCTGCTGACTTGGCCTTCACCTGAGCACATGTTTTATTTCTTAGGACCACACGGAGTCACAATTTGTATTCAGTTCTCCAATAATTTAAATGGTCGTACTTGGTGCCTCGGTGATTAAAACTTAAAAGATAATCTCTAAAGTTACTGCCTTAATGGTGAAATCTGATTGGATGTTTACATCCAAATGTAAATTGGCATTTATTGATTCAGTTTAGTCAGCAAATATATTTTTTGAGGACACAAAAGAGTTACATTATAAGCATTTGTTGAAATGCTTGTAATACTAAACATGTACTTTTACAGGAGAAAGGTACTTAAGGAATTTCTATAATGCAAGTACACTTCCTGTGTATCATACTATTATGTGCTTTTTTTAGTGAATTTCTCTGCTAGTATCTGTAGGTAGATGATCACTAAACATGCATGAAATATATCAGGAGAAAATTTATTCTAAGAAATATCTAGTATTTTATCAGGAAGGCCAACATTACAAAGCCAAGGGAAGCTAGTGTGACTGATGATGGTATTCTCCCTTTGTCCTTCCTTAGGAACATTGCCTCATAAATTGGGATACTAGTGATCACTATCATTCCACAGAGGATGACCTGGGTTAGAAATACATTCCATGGCATATTTCATACACCTGTCATTATTTGACTTAGCACTTCCACTAGGCAGACGAGGTTGAGTAGTGCAACAATTACAATGATCACATATTCAGGATATGATGACCCAAGTTCAATGATTTCTTGTTTATACCTCTTTGCTTCATCTCTATTACTTACCTTTGCTGTAACCGCAAATGTCATCTTCGACAGTCCTAGCAACTTACGGATGGTATCAATGAGGTCGTAAAGATATGAGGTAATTCTTCTAACCATCCACATCCTTTGTCCATTCCAACATCCTTTCAATGTATCCCCTGATAATAATGCCTCATATAGACTGTATATATTCTTCACAGTTCACACATAATACATATACGAAGGGTGTAGCCCATGGACTCATAATCTAAATGGCATATAAACATAGGATTAGTTTTAATAAGAGCAATATGAAACCAAAGTGAGGTTTATCATGTAATATTACCTCTGGGAATAGAGGGGTGCCCTTCACAAGCCTAGTGATGGAAACATAACATAATAAAGCGTAGGCAGTGAGTTGGATGCCCATAACCCAAATAAGCAATAGCCCATCTGTAGTTGTAACTTAATTTTTCCATGTCCAATCAAGAAGGGGCAGTTCTTTGAAAAAAAAAGTGTTAAATTATCCTCACCCCATCTCTTGCGCTGCAGTATTGTCTGGGCAAGTGTTGCTGGACCCACACCCAAAAGTGCTGCTCTTTGAGGATTGATGTAAACTGACTCCCATCCTCTGCAATTTATCGCCAATTCAGTGAAGATTATCTTCTACCGTGCAACCATATTTTATTTCAATCTCATTTCCCCACTGTGTCCTATGTTCACAAGTGCAGGTTGCTAAAGATTTTGCCTTCTCTTCAATCTCATATATGTCTGCCTGTGTTTTTTCCTTTATTCCTCTCCCAGTCTTCCTTGTAGTCTTTGCTGAACCTCCTACACAAAGGATCTCTCTTATATGGAAACGTCCAGTACCAATGTTATGGATTGGCTAGGGTAAGGGTCCTAAGACCGGGGGATAGGCGCTCGCCCTCTAATAGCAGAGGCAGGGCTTCTCTCTGCTGAGCTAAAAGAGGCTCTGAGGCTTAGGGCTAACTTTAGAGATTGATTGATTGATTATAGAGTCCATGGGGTCCCTTTATATATATAGGGAGGACAGACTAGATACATAAGGAACTAGTCTCTAGTATTATATAAACCAATCCAATCTCTGTCTCTAGCTTTCTAATAAACCTCATCTCTTTCCTAACTAGGTAATCTCCTATATTTATGTGACTTATTTCTAATTTATCATGCCTAAACTGTTGCATGGCCTTGGCCCATGCCCATAACAACCAATGTAGGGTGAGCCAACAGCACTGTCCATACCACACATATCCACCTTAACATTGAATTGTTTTGTTAGCCGAATAATGTATATTGATAGTATAGATTATTAAAAACAAGAGAATGTATTAAAAGTACAATTTGATACAACTTACCTCATTGAGAACAAGGAGGGAATTTCCATATATATTGTTCTTGGTCATGTTGTTATAGTTCTGAGGGTACTGTACAAATCCGATTTTGTGGCCCATTTCTTCATCAAGGAAGAAGCACAACGTACCTCTGATTGAGTCACTGTTATTGGAATACATGTCGCAGTCCACATTCAAGATAATAGGGTTGTTACATATCTATATTTCAGGATTGAAATTTAACATATTTTAAAATACTTTCAGGAATAAGGCATTTCCTGAATGTTAGAATACTTTGTGAAAATGCTGCGATAAATTGTTCATTGAACAATGCACAACTGACCATATGGTTCTAACTCCATGCATTTTTTTTCTGACTGAAGCAAACAGTAGCAATACATAACCTTTTGGTTGGTTGTTGCACTTGTAGAACCTACTAGATACTTCTTTTTTTTTTTTAACTGAAACCTACTTGATACTTCATTTTTCAAAATGAAAGTGTGGAACAACTTGTTGCATTGTTGTATTTATTACAAAATGGGTAAGGTAACCTCTAATGGAAAGTAGGGATTTTATAATAAATTTGTTAACCTTGTTTCAAGGTAAAACTAAACAAGGTTAGGGAACACACCAAAGCGTTCATAGCCCAAGATTTGAAGTTATGGTGGTACTGAGGCCTCTTCTCACGTGCCATGTATACCAGGCTTGGTAGCACATTTCCGTCATCATCTACTACATTTTGGCTTTTCCCATCTATAAGTATCTATCAAAGAAGCAACATTTTTTTTAGAACCTGAAATTCCCAAAATGGAAGTAGTATGGATTTCTTTACTTTGTAATCATGAAATTTTTAGGACAGTAAAGCCTACCTGAACAATTGGCGGATGATTTTTGAGGCAATTTCTGAGTTCCTTCCATCAAATCCTTTATGATTCAGTTTAATTTCTTCAGGAATTTTTCCTAACATGACAGCTGTATCAATCCTCTGTCATTTCTTTGTACAGGTCCTGCCGATAAAAGAAGATCAGTTGCCATACCAAATGTTGAGAATTATAAGCCGTAATTATCTGTGAGTGCATATTCATCCCATACTTGTTGATTATCGATGTCTTAAAGAAGAATGTTAAGAAATGCACATACCTTGATAAATGACCATTCTTTTGGGGTGCACAGATTGTGATGCCCTTCTGACTCCACGAAGAAAGCAGCTGGTGGCCTTGGCTCAATGTTATAACTTTTTGCAGAATGGTAGCCAGTGCTTTGCAAACACGGAGGCCTCCCATAGAGCATAGAAAGTAAGAATTGAACCTCCATCATCAGAAAGGTACACTCTTAATTTTTTTGACGGGTAATTGTATGCCATGACTGATACGACGGTAGATATGACAAGACTTGGTGGTTCTGAGTGTGGGTCTGCCGTGCATACAAAGATATCCAGCTTTTTTTTCATGCATGCTCCAAATGACATGTTAAATGTGTTTAGGCTTATTGTGGTAAATAGCTGTTTGAATGTTGGCTCGTGTGTAAAACAATAGAACACATTTTAAAGAGATCTTCCCTTCAATGATTTAAGCTAGCTAAACTGGTCTACCTTTACCTTCCTTTAGTTTACCATCTTCAATTTTTTGAGATCAATATACTAGAAACAAACCGGACATGTTCTGAAGTCCTTTTGCTAAATTCAAAGCATAAATCATCAATTTTTTGTTGTGTACTGTTAGAGTATACCGATAGGATTCTAGAGGATTCAATTGTTACGGTAGGATAGGATTGGTTTCCATTTCATCTCTGAGATTCCTTGATATACCGACCTGGGAGGCTAAATACAACGAACCCATATTACACAATACATCTCTTTCTGTACACACTTTCATGTACAAAAGATAGTTCTGTTCCTTTTGCAGCCATTTTTAGTAAAGCTGAGATAAGAAATGTTGATCTTTTAGATTATTGTATATATTTTGCTAACAGAATCTATATACTCCTATTATACTACCTCCGGTTTTAAATATATGGTACCTTTGATTTTTTTTAATTTGTTTGACTTTTTTGTCCTTTCTAGAAATGTTTGTGCAAATAGACAAATATACAAGGCACACTTAAGTACTTGGATAGATCTAGGGGGTACTCTTTTCACTTTACTTATAACTAAGTAATTGAATAAATATTGCTGTTCAAAGTTTGAGGAGAAAGTAATGGTGTCGTATATTAAAAGAACAGAGGGAATACCATTATATGCACGAAATATTTTGAGCCCTGAAACTCTAAGCTGCAATAGTTTTTTTATTATTTTCTTGGTGCATTAATATGCGAGTTCCTACCCGTTGTAGTTATAACTTAGGCCCTTAAAAAAAGTTATGACTTATGATATGAGAAGTTGAGAGAAAAAATGATGTTGTAAGAAAAAAAAACTGCTGTCCTGGTTGTCCAGTCATGAGATTTCTTTGTTGCAATGTTTTTTTTTAAGAATTAACATAAGATTTGCGCATGTGTATAAACATATGGAGAATACGGTATAAGATTTGCATATCTTTGTATTAAGACATGAAGGATACATATAAGATTTGTGCATCTTGATCTTTGTTGAAAGGCTCGTTACATCAGTTTTTTGAAATCCAAATTTGGTCGGTCAACTGACATTTCAAACACTGTAAGCGAGACACCGTTAGGTTGCCTTCGTAGGAAGGAGATGAGAACCAATCTCTTGTGCACGGAAAACGGAGCGATCCATTAGCGCGTGATTAATTAAGTACTCCCTCCGTCAAAAAGACTCAATTCTTGGGTTTCCGTGTCCAACGTTTGAACGTCCGTCTTATATAAAATTTTTATGATTAGTATTTTTATTACTGTTAGATGATAAAACATGAATAATACTTTATATATGACTTATCTTTTTAAATTTTTTCATATTTTTTTTAAATAAGACGGACAATCAAACGTTAGACATGGAAACCTAGGAATTAAGTTTTTTTTGGGATGGAGAGAGTATTAGCTAATTTTTTTCAAAGAGTAAAGTGTATTGGTGGTCCTCAAACTTGTAGGGTTGTGTCATATAGGTTCCTAAACTCTCAAAATGCATATTCAGGTCCCAGAACTTGTCAAAGTGTATCTGTCCTAAATCGACACATCCCCTCTAGGATCCTACGTGACGCTGATGTGGCATGCCACATGGACATGACATGCCCTTTTTTTTTCTTCGTTTCTTTTTTTTCCTTTTTCGTTTTCTTTTCATTATTCTTTTTTTCCATTCTTCTGCTTGGGTTACAGAGAAAGGAGAAGAAAGGGAGAAAAAGAGAATAAAAAAGAAAATGGAAAAACTTTAAATGGGTCCCATTTGTCAGTCAAAATGATGCCACATTATGTCCGTGTGGCATGCCACATCAACGCCACGTAGGATCCCAAAGGGGTTATGGCGATTTGGTACCTAGATGACACACTATGACAAGTTCTGGGACTTGGATATGTATTTTGAGAGTTTAGGGACCTAGATGACATACCCCTACAAGTTTAAGGACCGCCCGTATACTTTACTCTTTTTCAAAAATAAATTAATATGATTTTTAAACTGCTTTTGTATAGAAACTTTTTGTAAAAAATACACTGTTTAGCAGTTTGAAAAGCGTGTGCATGTAATACGAGGGAGAGGAGTTGGGAATATGTGGTGCCGAACATACCCTTAGTGTGGAGTTGTAGACGAGCAGTAATATACATGTCTTTTTTTATTTTACAAAATTTAATATACTATCTCCATTTATTTTTATATTTTAAGTCATTTTACAATTGTACTAAGTCAAACATGTTCAAGTTTGACCAAATTTATAAAAAAACAGAGCAACAATTTCAACACAAAATAAAGATACTACAAAATCCCAATGCAACTCTGTTTCATAAAAAAAAAAGCCAATTTCTATGGATGAAAACATGCACGGTTCAGATTCATCTCCCTACAGTGTCTTTCTTTAGACGGAAGGAGTATATATATAGGGCCTGTTTAGATCCCCTCGCAAGTTTTTTCACCTGTTACATCGAATGTTTGGACGCATGCATGAAGTATTAGATATCGATAAAAAAACTAATTACACAGATTACGTGTAAATTGCAAGACGAATCTTTTAAGCCTAATTGCTTTATGATTTGACAATGTTGTGCTACATGAAACATTTGCTAATGATGGATTAATTAGGCTTAATAAATTCATCTCGCAGTTTAGAGGTGGAATTTGGAATTTGTTTTGTTATTAGACTACGTTTAATACTTCCAATATGTGTCTGTATATCTGATGTGACACGGCAACATTTTTCACCATTGAATCTAAACACAGGCATAGTCTTGTAATATGAAAGAGAGAGACCAAGTTCTTGACCGTTCGATTTATGTGTTAGGATTGATGGTCATTCATGTCAAAATTTATGCGTGTACGAGGATCCAATTTGAAGAGAGAGACAGTTGTAACGCACAAAAGTGACCAACCTCTCGGCGAGCCTGTCCTTGAACGTGCGGCGGCGGACGGGGCACACCACCGGACGGCCTACCTGCGTGACGACCCAGTAAACGGTGTACCGTGTACATGACCTCCGCCGCCTCCATCCCTACCCACGCCGCCCTCCCCTCGCCGCCGGCCGGCATGTGCGTCGCCCTGTAGTACAGCACCAGCAGTTTCCCGGCGGCCACCGTCGCCGCCTGGAATGGAATCTGTACACCGCCCTGCCGCCCATATTCTCCTTCGCCAACAGCCGCCGTCGTCGTCTACATCGCCGGCCGATCAGCTGTCCTCTCTCTCTCTCTCTCTCTCTCTCTCTAGCAAATTAAGCTGCTTATATGCGTTTTCTCTACAGTGAGCACTTGGCTAACATATATATAGCTCTCGATCACTAGCTCATACGAATCATTTGACTATGCATATCTGATGCAGGAACTATAGTAAACGTGTAATGTCATGCTACCTCTTATCTGCATGTAGGAACATAATACCCGAAGTTATATGTCACAGGTCATAATACCTGATCACATGTTCCCAAAAAAGAAGTTCCTCTGAATTATATTTTTGAGGAAGAGGGAGATGCCTCTCCCTTCCTGTGAATTATATGTTCTTTTTTTCCTGAACTTCTGTTCTAGGCATCTATATGCTGATGATCATTAACATGTGTGAAATATTCAAGAGAATTTCATGAAATGGCAATGCAATTTATTTTCATGATCATCATCAGAAACACCCAATGTTTTATAAGGCATCAAATCCCATTTTAGGGACCTCAAACTATTGGTACTAGGAATGCCAACATTACAAAGCCAATTGAAGCTAGTGTGACTGCTGTTGGTATTCTCCCATTGTCCTTTCTTAGGAACATTGCCTCATAAATTGGCATATTAATGATTACTATCATTCCACAGAGGATGGCCTGGGGTAAAAACACATTCCATGGCATATTCCAGACACCTGCCATTATTTGACTTAACCCTCCAACTAGGCAGACGAAGTTCAGTAATGCGACGGTTGCGATGATCACATATTCAGGAGACGATGACCCAAATTCTAGGATTTCTTGCTCATACCTCTTTGCTTCATCGTGACCGCTTACCTTTGCTGTAACTTCAAATGACATCTTTGACATTCCTACACATTTTCGGATGGTGTCAATGAAGCCATATAGATATGAGGTAATGCTTTTCACCATCCACATCCTTTGTCCATTCCACCATCCTTTCAATGTATCCCCAGATAATAATGCCTCATAAAGACCGTAGAGGGTCTTCACACAAAATACATATATGAAGGGTGTAGCCCATGGACTCATAATCTAAATGACATATAAGTGTAGTGTTAGTTTCAATAATAAACAATAAGTTCTAATGATAGAAATGAATCAAAGTACTCCCTTCGTACTCGTAAAGGAAGTTGTTTTGGACAGCGACATGGTCTCCCAAACATAACTTTGACTTCTGATATATGTATATTTTTATGAAAGCATTTTTCAAGACAAATCTATTCATATAATTTTTACATTTTCAAACTCAACAACTTAAGAGTTATTCATGATTTATATTCCCAAAGTTTGACTTAAACATTGTCCTAAACGACTTCCTTTACGAGTACGGAGGGAGTATGGTTTAGCAATTAGCATTAGTTTAATAGTACCTGTGGGAATAGGGGGGTGCCCTTAACAAGACCTAGTGATGGAATCACAACATAATAGAGTGTAGGCAGTGAGTTGGCTGCCCATAATCCACATATGCAGTAGCCCATCTGTAGTTGTAACTTGATTTTTCCATGTCCAAACAAGAAGGAGCAGTACTTCGAAAGAAAAATTGTGAGATTACCCTCACTCCATCTCTTATGTTGCAGTATATTCTGGGCAAGTGTTGATGGGGCTAAACCCAAAAATGCTGCTCTTTTAGGATTTATGAAGGCTGACTCCCATCCTCTGCAATGTATTGCCAATCCAGTAATGATATCCTCTGCCGGGAAACCGTATTTCACTCCAATGTCATTACCCCACTGTGTCCTATGCTCATAAGTGCAAGTTACTAAAGATGTTGCCTTCTCCTCAATCTCATTTATGTTCTCTTTTCCTCTTTCCTTTATTCCTCTGTTCCAGTTTTCCTTGTAGTCTTTGCTGAATATCCTACCACAAAGGATCTCTCTTCTGTGGAAGCATCCTGTGCCAATGTAGAGACAACCACCAACACTGTCTAAACCACACATCTCCACCTTTACATTAAATTGTTTTGTTAGCGCAGAAAGATATTAATTTAATGATAGAACAAATTGTTGCAAACATGAAAATGTATTGAAGTTACAGTTTCATAGAACATACATGATAGCTAACATTGAAAGAGTTTCCATATATATCATTTTGGGTCATATTGTTGAAGATCTGAGGGTACTGCACAAATCCAATTTTCTGGCCCATTTCTTCATCGAGGAAGAAGCATAACGCATCTCTGATTGAATCACTATTGTTGGAATACATATCACAGTCCACGTTCAAGATAACAGGGCTGTCACTTATCACTGATGATACCCTTATCTGCATTTTAGGATAAAATTTAACATATTTAAAAATATTTTCAGGAACAAGGCATGTCTTGAACATCAAAATATTACTTGAGAAAAATTTATGATCAATTGTTGACTGAATGATGCACACTCCATCGTATGTTGTAGTTTAATATGCAGAATTGATAATTGAGAAAATTATGTGATCAATTGTTGATTGAATTCATCCATTGTTCAACTATATGCATTTTTTCTTACTAAAGAAAATATAATTTAATGACCTTTTGGTTAGTGGTTACCTGTAGAACCTACTAGATACTTCATTTTTTAAAATTCAAAATGAAAATGTGGAACAACTTGTCGCACTATTTTTGCATTTATAAGAAAATTGGTAATGATAACGTCTAATGAGATTAGGGAGTTCACAATAAATTAGTTAACCTTGTTTTAATATTCAAATGTTAAACCAAGTTAGTGAACTCACCAAAGCGTTCAATGCCCCAGCTTTGAAGTTATGGTGGTACTGAGGCCTCTTCTCGCGCGCCACGTATACCATTGTTGGTAGCACATTTCTATCATCATCAATTGCATTTCGGTTTTTCCCATCTATCAGAATCTACCAAAGAAGCAATATTTAGAACCTCAAATTATCAAAACTGAAGTGTTATGAACTTCTTTACTTTAATTTGTATAGTGAAAAACTTTGTGCTGTTTTCTGGGACAGTGAAGCCTACCTGAACAATTGGCTGGTGATTTTTCAAAGTAAAATCTGAGTTCCATTCATCAAATCCTTTATGCTTTAGCTTCATTTCTTCAGGAATTTTTCCTGACATGGTAGCTGTATCAATTCTCTCTCTCATTTCTTCATACAGGTTCTGCCAAAAAAAAAATCGGTTGCCATGCCAAATATTGAGCACTATGAAGTTATGACTAGGACATATATAGTTCTAGTCATATGTGAGAGCTGATTTAATTGTGGCCTACCTGTTGATTATAAAAATCTCGAAGAATTATGCTTATAAAAATGCACATACCTTGATCAGTGCCCATTCTTTTGGGATGCACAGATTGTGATGCACTTTTGACTCTGAGAAGTAAGCAGCTGGTGACCTTGGCTCAATGTTATATCTTTTGCAGAATGGTAGCCATTTCTTTGCAAATATGGAGGCCTCCCATAAAGCATAGAAAGTAAGAATTGAACCTCCATCATCGGAAAGGTACACACTTATTTTTTCTGATGGGTAATTGTATGCCATAACTGATAGGATGGTAGAGATGACAAGGCTTGGTGGCTCTGATTGTGGATCCGCAGTGCATACAAAGATATCCACACCAGGTAGATTTTGTTCATATCTGCTTCAAAGGATATGGTAAATGTGTTAAATTGTGGGAAATATATGTTTTCTCAATGATGGATATAAAACCAACCTCTACGTCAAAAATGTTTTGGCCATAATATTTTTACAATAAAGAAACATTTTTAAGTTGTGAAAAGAAAAAAACAAACTAGTGAACATAGCTAAGTAAAAATAAGTTTAATGCAAATAGATAATTGATGAAATAGCCCTACTATAATAGATGGCAGAGGGTTTGTAGTACACGAAGCACTGGGTGATCTAGTACACGGGAAGGGCCTAGAAGTGCATACACCACACCACACGGCACTTGGCTCTACCTTCACTTCCTTGGGCAAAGCGGTGCTTTGTTTCGTGACCAAATTAAGTATTTGTGATTGATTGTGAAAGATATATGGATAAAGATATATCCATCCATGTATCCCGATATTGAAAAGGATTAATTGATTCCATAACACCTTAGATTCAAAGAAATGCGTTTAGCCCCATTCCTGCGCCAGGCTAAGGCTACTTTTTTGTTGAAGTTCGGAACTTTTTCTTTTTGACCTTCTAACTCATACTTGATCATACTGGCATGGCTCCACTATTTTGTTTTCGATCGGAGCATCAAGCAGTACAACTCATTTCTACTTAACTAAGCATGTGCTAAAGGAGGAGAGAGTTTGCTTTACCGAAGTCCCCTTTTTTATAAGGGTCCTTTGATTCATAGGATCGGCAAAGGATTTTCGCAGCATTCAAATTCCTATGAATTTTTTCCTCTCTGTCACTTTGATTTGTAGGGAAAGAAAGGAAACTTTACATAGAATTGCATTACTATGTTTCGCATTTCATAGGAAAAAACAGTAAGAGAGTATGAGCTCTTTGTAAACTTTCATTTGTTTTTCCTATGGCACTATCAAATAGTTCCTATCTTCTTTCCTGTGTTTTTTATATTCTTGTGGAATTGGAGAATCATACCATTTCAATTCATATATTTTTCCTATCCTGCGAATCAATGGAGTTCTAATAAGAGAAAACCCCCAATCCGACATTCTATTGGTTTATGTATGCAGTTCGATATTTAACAGAAATAATCATAATGATGGCTTGATGATCTGATTGAGCTAGCTGTGAGAACACAGAGGGTCTGTTTGGTTGCTACCCTGAGCACCAAGCCTGAGAAATTTGTATGCCTGAGAGGCATTCGAGATGCTCATGAAGCTTGCCTGGCCAGGCCGCCTGATGCTTTCCTTGTTTGGTTTGCCACTCCTGCCTGAGAGGAAAAACTGATGTTGGGCTTGAGATTATTACTGCTAATACTGATGTTAGAGCCAATACGGTTGGTCTTGAGAAATTGAGATGATTAGTGTAGATGCTAATTGCAGACACAAATCATAGAAGACAACTGAAATCCATGGGGAAAAAATGGGGAAAAAGGGGAAAGAGAAATAAGAAAGAAATCCTCAAATCCAAGCATGCACCAAATTAAATATTCCATGATTTCTCCCAGCCATGTAAAGCGATTCAATCAATGATATTTCTCTCAGACACACGCAGAGCACTTACTATCAACGAATCAAATGCTAGCAGCCATGGTGGCATCTTCTCGAGGCTGCAGATCTAGCAAGGCGGCCGGACTGCTTCGTGCGTGAAATCCTTTGAGACGACAGCATCGAGGGCTTAGCCCAGCGGCAGGGGGCGAGATGCTTTACGTAGCGGTGGGTTTAGCATGTTGGTGATGACTCACACGCCGGCGTCGGAGGCAAAAATGGTGGCGGTGGGGGTCTTCGCGCGACGCCGCCGCCCGTTTTTTCTTAGCGATACTGCGCCTGGAGCTCAGGCGACCGATTTTGGTCGCCTGGTTCAGGCTAATGACATTACGTGTTTGCTCAGGCCAGGCAAGAGGAAAACAGACTCAGGGTGGCAACCAAATAGGAGGTAATCGAACTCAGGCTAGATCCAGGCCAGACTAGTTTTGCTCAGGGTAGCAACCAAACAGCCCCAGAGTCCCTGGATGAGATCGTTTCACACATCGAGTATAGGTTTTATGTCCGTGTCAAAGTAAAATTTGAATTTGAAATACGGAGGATGTATTTAAAGTATCCTGGCCAGTTTTCCATGTACCGACTACCTTACCTGCTTGGTAAGGGTCGTTTATAATAGGGCCATGTCCAATACAACTAAAAATAAAAACTAACCATTTTATCCCATCACGTAAGATAAAAGGATGGGTGTTTATAATATCTGTGCTTGATTAAGCATCGATCCATACTTAGCAGGTGCTTATGTGTTCTAAATCTTGTCAATATGACTCGCCAGTTTGTCATCAATTTTCAGAACCTTACCAGCAATAATATATTAATATATTAAGTATTACTTCCTCCGTCCCACAATACTTATCTTTTTAGATTGTTTAATACAAATTAAGATTTGAGAAGTAAAAACTATATTGCCCGTTCTTTAAATGGAAGTAAGAGTGTGGTGAGGGTAGAATGTGTAAAAATTTAAATTGAAGGTGACTGATGTGATAAGTAGTACTCTTAAGTAATAGTAAGTATTGTGGGATAAAATTTAAATTTATAAAATAACTAAACTATTTGGGGACAGAGAAAGTAGTATGTAGATATAACTTTAGATGATAATAATAATAATAATAATAATAATAATAATAATAATAATAATAATAATAATAATACATGCAAAATTAAACTAATTTTTTGAATTCAAACCTCTCGGCGAGCCTGTCCCTGAAGGTGCGGCGGCGGAAGGGGCGCCACCGGACGGACTGCGCGATGACCCAGTAGACGGCGAACCAGAGCTCCGCCGCCGCCATCCCCAGCCACGCCGCCCTCCCTTCGCCGGCGGCCGGCACGCGCGTCGCCCTGTAGTAGAGCACCAGCAGTATCCCGGCGGCCACCGTCGCCGCCTGCACCCTGTACACCGCCCTGCCGCCCAACTCCTCCGTCGTGAACAGCGGCCGCCGCCGCTCCGCCGCCGTCGCCGCCGCCGTCGTCTCCATCGCCGGCCGATCGATCAGCTCTACGCTCTCTCTAATTGCTTTGTTGCTTAAGTGCAGGAGAGAGCAGTAAGCAGTGAGCAGTGAGCGCTTGATTTAGTTATATATATAGCTCTTGATCATCGTTAGGCTCCTCATACAAATCAAAATTTAGCTTTAGTTATGTCTGTTTCATAGGCACTTCGTTGAGCTAAGTGGCGGCTAACATCGAGATCACTTGATATTTTTCGTTATTATATTATTATAAGTGAGAGGCTGTGAGAGCTCGCGCCACTCTGCTGCCGACCAATTCTGAGCTCCTTCCAAAAGAATTTATTGCTAACATGAATTACTGTATACTCCCTCCGTCAGCTGGTATCGATGCTATCCAAATAAATTTGTAGTACTGTACTAAATTATACTCCCTCTGTCCTATAATGTGACATATTCTAGTACGATTAATCTGGACAGATGAATGTTTAAATTCGTAGTAATAGAATGTGTCATATCCGGTACTAGGTTGGTTTTTTATAGGACGGAAGAAGTATGTAATGTTGTTACTCTCTCCGTTTTATATTATTAGTCGTTTTATTTTTTTCTAATCAAAATTGTTTAAGTTGGATCAAATTAATAGAAAAAAATATAGCAATATTTTCAATATTAAACAAATACATTATTAAAATATATTTAATTTTATATTTGATGAATCTAATTTGGTGTTATAGGTGTTGCTAAAATTTTATATAAACTTGATTACAAATTGAAATAATTTAACTAGAAAAAGTTAAATCGAACTATACTATAAAACAAAAGTGAGTATATTTTAAGAATGAGGAAATAGTTCAAAATGCCAATTCACTCACATAATCAGATTAATTCCGCAACTGTTACTATCATTCAGCTCATGCACGTCTCTTTTCTTTGTCTTGTGTGTAACGACCAGGAGTAAGCGACGAATGAAGTGCAACTGTTGAAGAAGATGGAGAGTGAGAAGTGGAAAACAAGTACTCGTGAACTCGTCCACGCAATCATCAGGTAGCAAGTCACCATGGGATTCCTACCTCACACGTGAGCGCTAGGAACTGAAGCGGCACGCGTTTCACCGTATTTATAGCGCTTTAGCGCTTAGTTTTGGATAAAAAAAAGCTATATACATTTCTTCTTTAAGATAAAAACCGCCATGCGTATATTTCTTTTTTTTAAAGTTGATTGCAACTTTCAACTCAGATTTATCAAGGATTTGAAAATTTTTCAACTAATATTTGAAAACTTTCAAGGTTTGAAACTCTAATTGAAAAATTTTCAAGTCAATATTTGAACCCTTTAAACTTAAATTTAAAAATTTTTGAACTAAGAAGATGTTGAAACTTTCAAGTCTGATTTGAAAACTTTCAATTCGAATTTGAAAACTTTCAAACCAAGATTTGAAAACTTTCAAGTCAGGATTTGAAAACTTTCAAATCGAATTTAAAAACTTTCATCTCCAAATTCAAAACATTCAACTCAAATTTGAAAATTTTCATCTCAAAATTTTAAAACTTTTAATTCAAAATCTTAAAAACTTTTAACTCAAATTCTAAAAAAAAAATCTAGGAAAAAATCGGCAGAAAAAACGAGAAAAAAACGCGTGGAGAGGCGCAGACGCGCCAGCCACGCGGCGTGCGCGCCAGCAAGGTAACTGGTGCATCTTCGCCAATTAGCTTTTCCGAAGTCACCAAGACACAATTGGGACCTGGAATTATTGGCTTCTCTAGTTCTCTTTCCAACTTCCAAGTAGTGGCAGATCAGTTTTATACGAGAAATTCAGAGATGCTTTCTCAGCATTCTTGTAGTACAAATTCTTGTGAAATTTATGTTTTTCTCCTTCTTCTGAATATCTGTGCTAGCCATCTGTAGGTAGATGATTATCAGCGTGCAAGAAATATGTCAGGTAGAGTTTATCCCAACAAAAATTGAAAGAAAAGGCAGTGCAATTTATTTCCATAATCATTTTACAAGGCATCGCTTCCCATTTTAGGACCTCAAACTATTGGTAACAGGAATGCCAACATTACAAAGCCAATTGAAGCTAGTGTGACTGGTAATGGTATTCTCCCCTTATCCTTTCTCACAAACATTGCCTCATAAATTGGGATATTAGTGATCACTATCAGTCCACATAGAATGACCTGGGGTAAAAACACATTCCACACACCTGCCATTATTTTGCTTAGCCCTGCAACTAGGCAGACGAAGTTCAGTAATGCGACAGTTGCGATGATCACAAATTCAGGAGATGATGACCCAAACTCAAGGATTTCTTGCTCATACCTCTTTGCTTCATCGCCATCACTTACCTTTGCTGTAATTTCAAATGACATCTTTGACAATCCTAACAATTTTCGGATGGTGTCAATGAAGCCATATAGATATGAGGTAATTCTTTTCACCATCCACATCCTTTGTCCATTCCACCATCCTTTCAATGTATCCCCAGATAATAATGCCTCATAAAGACTGTAGAGGGTCTTCACACAAAATACATATATGAAGGGTGTAGCCCATGGACTCATAATCTAAATGTCATGTAAGTGTAGTGTTAGTTTCAATAATAAAAATAAGTTTTAATGACAAAAATGAAATCAAAGTATGGCTTATCATTTAATTTAACGGTACCTCTGGAAATAGGGGAGTGCCTTTGACAAGACCTAGTGCTGGAATCATAACATAGTAGATTGTAGGCAGTGAATTGGCTGCCCATAATCCATATATGCAGTAGCCCATCTGTAACTGCAAGCTGATTTTTCCATGTCCAAACAGGAAGGTGTTGTGCTTTGAAAGAAAAATTGTGAAATTGCCCTCACTCCATCTCTTGTGTTGCAGTATTGTCTGGGCAAGTGTTGCTGGAGCTACACCCACAAATGCTGCCCTTTGAGGTTCCATGTAGACTGACTCCCATCCTCGGCAATGTATTGCCAATCCAGTGATGACATCCTCTACTGGGCAACCATATTTCACTCCAATCTCATTGCCCCATTGTGTCCTAAGTTCATAAGTGCAGGTTGCTAAAGATTTTGCCTTCTCTTCAATCTCATCTATGTTCTCATGTCCTCTTTCCTTTATTCCTCTGCCCCAGTCTTCCTTGTAATCTTTGCTGAATTTCTTACCACAAAGGATCTCTCTTCTATGGAAGCATCCTGTGCCAATATAGAGACATCCACCAGCACTGTCCAAACCACGCATCTCCACCTTTACATTAAATTTGTTTTGTTAGTGTAGAAATATGATAGCATATTTCTTTTTTTTGCAAGCATGGGAATGTATTTAAGTACAGTTTGATTTGATATATGGAACTTACATGATTGATAACATTGAGAGAGTTCCCATATATATTATTTTTGGTCATATTGTTGTAGTTCTGAGGATACTGGACAAATCCAATTTTGTGGCTCATTTCTTCATCAAGGAAGAAGCACAACGCATCTCTGATTGAATCACTATTGTTGGAATACATGTCACAGTCCACATTCAAGATAACAGGGCTGTCACTTATCAGTGCTGATACCCTTATCTGCATTTAACGAAAAAATTAACATATTTTAAAATACTTCCAGGAATAAGGAATATATATATTGAACATTAAAATACTAGAGAAAATTTTGTGACCAATTTGTGCAATGAATGATGCACAATAAATTGTATGTGGTGATTTAATGGTGCGCAATTGATACATGAAAAAATTCTTGACCAATTATTGACTACATCCACATAGCATCTGATACATGAGAAAATAACATTTGATGACCTTTTGGTTAGTGGTTACTTGTAGAACCTACTGGATACTTCATTTTTTTAATTCAAAAATGAAAACATGGTGCATCTTGTTGCAGTGTTTTTGCATTTATAAGAAGATATATAAGGGCAACCTAAAATGAAAGTAGGGGGAGTATTGTTAGGCTTGTTTTAACATAAAAATAAATAAATAACGTTAGTGAACACACCAAAGCGTTCAATGCCCCGGCTTTGAAGTTATGGTGATACTGAGGGCTCTTCTCGCGCGCCATGTATACCAGTGTTGGTAGCACATTTCCGTCGTCATCAACTGCATTTTGGCTTTTCCCATCTATCAGAACCTAGGAAAGAAGCAACATTTAGAACCTCTCAAATATATATAAAAAAGTACTATTTAAAATCATAATCGTGAAAGGCTTACCTGAACAATTGGCTGGTGATTTTTTGAGGTCATTTCCGAGTTCCATTCATCAAATCCTTTATGCTTTAGTTTAATTTCTTCAGGAATTTTTCCTGACATGACAGCCGAATCAATTCTCTCTCTCATTTCTTCATACAGGTTCTGAAAAAAAAAAAGTCATGCCAGTCATATGAGAGTTTTGATTTCTCCTATTTTACCGAAACCTAGGGGAACCGTATATATATTTCATTATGTGAGAGCTGATTTTAATTATGTCCAACTTGTTGAATTACAAATGCCTTAAAGAAGAATGTTAAAAATGCACACACCTTGATAAATGACCATTCTTTTGGGGAGCACAGATTGTGATGCCCTTCTGATTCCGAGAAGTAAGCAGCTGGGGACCTTGGCTCAATGTTATATCTTCTGCAGAATGGTAGCCATTTCTTTGCAAACATGGATGCCTCCCATAGAGCGTAGAAAGTAAGAATTGAACCACCATCATCAGAAAGATACACACTTATTTTTTCTGATGGGTAATTGTATGCCATGACTGATAGGATGGTAGAGATGACAAGGCTTGGTGGCTCTGCGTGTGGGTCTGCAGTGCATACAAAAACATCCACACCAGGTAGATTTTCTTTGTATCTGCTCCAAAATACATGGTAAATGTGTTAAATTGTGGGAAATATATGTTTTCTCGATGATGGATATAACTTCATCCTCTACATCGATGTGTATTCGGCCATAATATTTTTACAATAAAACAACATTAAGTTGCAAAATGAAAAAAAAAACTAATGAATGTCCTCGTGATGGTGTGATGATTTAATTGGGTTAACTGTTGAGAACACTCAGAGCCATAACCTGGATGAGATTTTTTTAACAAATCGAGTATATATAGTTTTGCATGTTTCTATCGAAATAAAATTTGAAATTAAAATATGGATTTAAAGTAGTGACGCCCCTGAAGAAACATGATGAGTTAGACAAGTTGGGCCCAAAATGCGAGTTGTACCCAGGGTTTGCAATTTTGAAACCCTGTTTTTTTGCCGGTGGAGGCCGAAAAAACTGAAATCACCAAAATTTCAGAATTTTGGGTATTTTTTGAATTTTTAACATATTTTGACTGAATTTGAATAAATTTTGAAAAAATTTACAAATACTTGACAAAAAATTGAAAATTTCAGAGAGATTTGTGCTTGCCGGTGGGGGCCGAAATTACCGAAATTTCGAACCAAAATTCCAAGCACTGGTTGTCCCTGTTCTGATCACCTACTCAGTATGTGGATCGTTTAGGATCATGCCCGATGCAACTATGCAAATGCTTAAAGGAGAGGAGTGCTTATAAAAAAAAACTAACCATTTTATTCTACCAGCTGTAACTAAGATAGGAAATGTTCCTTTCAAATAAATAAAAAAAGATAGAAGGTGTCCTAATCTGAAAAAGCATATGTGCTTAGCAGGTGCATATGTTTAAATGGGCCTTAAGCACTTAAGAGAAGGTGCTTGGGTTGGAGGAACGACTCTTTACGCGGTTGTGCTTGATTATGTGGACATTCCAAATGCTACATCCGTTTTTAAATAATGATCCTCCTCACCGCCGCTAGAGGTGAGTGCCGGAAATCCGGTTGTCCTAGAGGAAGACAGCGGCTGGAGATTGCAACGGCGATGGCAGCAACAGCTTCTCTCTACCTAAGGCTGTGTTTAGTTCACGCCAAAATTAAAACTTTAATTGAAATTGAAACGATGCGATGGAAAAGTTAGAAGTTTATGTGAGTAGGAAAGTTTGGTGTGATGGAAAAAGTTGTAAGTTTGAAGAAAAAATTAGGATCTAAACACGGTGTAAAAGCCTATAAGGTATGGCGTGTTAGGAGGCGGTGTCAGGAGGCACAGCAAGACAAGAAGGATGGCAACGTGGAGGTGTTGGGTGGAAGGGAGGACATCCTTGAGAAGGTGAAATAGTGTATCCAAAAATGTTATAAAAACGGAGTTGTCATCTTCCTCTTCCAACAGTGTATTTCCCCACCACTTAAAACCCACCCTGCCTAAAAACTACCACATCTAAACACCAGATAGATAAAACTAATCCCTGTATAATCATTTGTCGTATTTCTTCCCATCACGTTCCAAAGCACCACATAGTACTATGATATTTAAAAATAAAAGAAATATGTCCATATTTTATTAACACCTCCAATTTGAAGATTCTTTTATAAATCCGATTGGAGATGTTCTAAGAATAAATTGTAATAAAATATATCTGACATGGCGTGTTTTTATTAAAATATTATAATGAAGTATGTCTGGCATGGCGTGTGTGTTTTTCTTAAAGAAAAATCAATCACTTGCTTAATGCTTGGCCAGTCGCTACCAGCTTTCAAAACCATACAAAAGACACGTAGTTATGTTGTACAACCTCCGTTTTTAATATAAGGCGTCGTAAATCTTTTACCATTCGTTTTTATTCAAAAAATTTTACAAATATAAAAAAGATCAAAGTCATACTAAAAAACATTTACGATAAATCAAGTCAGAATAAAATAAAAACGAATGATCAACATATCTAAGAAAACAATGTTGTTATATATTAAAAAAACAAAGAGAGTATATTTGATGCCACTTCAGATAATAAATAAACATGCAAAAAATAAAAAATAACAGTAAGTTAAATTCAAACCAACCTCTCGGCGAGCCTGTTCTTGAAGGTGCGGCGGCGGACGGGGCACCACCGGACGGACTGCGTGATGACCCAGTAGACGGCGAACCAGAGCTCCGCCGCCGCCATCCCCAGCCACGCCGCCCGCCCTTCGCCGGCGGCCGGCACGCGCGTCGCCCTGTAGTAGAGCACCAGCAGTATCCCGGCGGCCACCGTCGCCGCCTGCAGCCTGTACACCGCCCTGCCGCCCACCTTCTCCGTCGCGAACAGCCGCCGCCTCTCCGTCGTCGTCGTCTCCATCGCCGGCGGCTAACTAGCTACTCTCTCTGTGTAGTGAGCTCGATCTTCGCTAGCATAGGATCCGTAGTAATATATGCATATATAGCTCGATCGATCACTAGCTGACAAAATGGACTAACCAATTCTGATGCACAGATATGTGCATATATAACGTCATACTATATAAATTGTTTTTTACTAGAATATATTTTATATAGCATATATCTTTAGAAGCCAGGTTGATGAGATTTGGTTGTGGTGCTGTGTCAGCCACTGGAGCACGTGGTCAGGGAGTGTTTTATCCAGGACCAAATGTATGGGAGACGATTATTGAGTGTCTTTGGATTGATGGTCCTTTACACTTTGTTTCTATATAATTTTTGGATACTAGCCAAGAGTTTGTGCGTTGCAACGGAAAATAAATTGTATTTCTAGCTTATTAAGTTAATTAAGTACATATTTAGTCTAAGTGAAGAATTAGGTGAATTGTATGTTGTCTTTCCTTATTGCGTAGTACTCCTGCACATGGGAATTTAAGGAAGGAAAGGAATGCGGAGGACAGCTGATAAAAAAATAGTAGAAAAGGAAAAAAAAAGACCCTCCTCTCCACTTTCCCTTCCCCTCGGTTTCTTCGGCAGGCCAGCCCCTCTACCAGCTGCCACCGTGCTGCCCCTCCTCTCCTCCTTCCCTAGCCGGCACGCAGCGAGCTCGGGTCGAGGTGAGGAAGAAACCGATCGACGCGGCAGCGAAGAACCTAGGGAATGGCAAGGAAGAAGCCAAGGCGACCCCCGTTGCTCGGTGGTGTTTTGGCGACAACAGTAGTGGACAGCGGTTCCCTCAGGCGGCGCCGAGGATGCCGAGCCTCTCCACAATGGGCATTCCCCTCTCATGAAGAGCAGAGGACGCTGATGAGGAAGGGGAGAGGGCACCTTGGAGGGAGAAGAAGGGCGAGGGATTGAGGTTGACGGGCACCCCGCCGCCAGATTCAGCTAGCATGTACCTCCCGGCGACACTAGCCCTCGATCAGGTGGCGCTGGCCCTATATCGAGCGACGACAGCTCTCGATCCACTGCTTGAAGACGGAGGAGGACGACGATGACACGGCTGCCATTGGATTCAACATGGCATGGGACGATGAGTCGGTGACCGTGGCAGTTGCCTCTCCCGTCTTCTCCGGACAACGAAGGACTCGGTGGCGTGGATTGGATCCCAACAAAATCCAATTGTTCCTGGTACGTTTGGATGGATTGCCCTCGTGTAGACCTCCTTGGAGTTGGTGGCTTGGACCTTGGTCCCACATGTCAGATGGTGGTGGCGTTGGGAAGGCAGAATGGATCGACACCACCACCGAGAACATTTAAAGAAGTATAGATGCTTGTTTTCTGAGCCCTATGGATCTGAGGGCCTCATCGTTTGTTCTATGGCTTATAAGCCGCTGCCAAAGTTTAAATTTTGAAACTTTATTTGGAGTCGACTTTGATGTTTTTTTTAATGTAGTTTGTTTTTCAGTATTGGCTTTTAAGTCACTAAAGACACATATGAAAAGTTTTATCCATAATTATTTTTTATCACTAATAAACCATTACAGCTTATATAATCAAGCCATATACAACCGATGAGGACCTTATTTATATAGAGGCCGAAAATGATTTGAAGATGGTTGTATGACCCTAATGTAATTATCTTGATTTCATTAAAAAATTACTTATCAATTATATATAACTTTATATTAAAATTATAATGAGAGTGTTGCTACTTATAATCGTCTGATTATTTCTTACTATTATGAATGTTTTTTTAACAAGTCTAATGCAACATGAGGATGCACGAGCGGTGTGGTGATAGAGTAGTCATGGGTATACAACTTCACCCACTAGTATTAATTTAATGGTGCCTACTAATACAGTATATTACACGTATGTCAGGGCGTCTTCATAGGATTTTAATGACGTTAAGGATGTCTTTAGTATTATCTTTTTAGCGTATGTTAAGACATGTATTCGCTGTTTGTGTGCGTATGCATCTTCTGATCGAGAAATTAATCAGTCTAATATATGATGTAAGTCTCGTAAATAAACTCTAATACCCCTTCAAATGCGTACTAGTATAGTCAAGCTCTAGACAACACGTTTTTATAGGAAACTCTAGGCAACAAGTTGAAGTTGATGTGACAACATTATATTTAACGCCTTAACAGCAGTTTTTCATGACAAGAACTGTTGCTAGGGTGTTAAATATAACTGGGTTAGTAAGGTTCAACGTCTTACGTCTCTCTTCGATTCTATATTAATTGACGTTTTTGACAAGGTTGAGATCAAATTTTTATAACTTTGACCATCAATAACTTTAAAAATATTTAGTTTAAAGAAACTAAAACAACATATATAGATTTTTCTTTTAAAGCACTATAATAAAAATAAACATGCATTTATTTATTGTATATATTATAATAGAAAAGTAAGGTCAAAAGATATATTTTGTAGACCGTGTCATTGTCCAAAACGTCAATTAAAATGGAACCGGAGGGAGTACATCTGAATATATATATATATATATATATATATATATATATATATATATATAGGACACTCATATGGGGCACCATGGTGCCCGGGCACCATGGTATCTAATGCACAAAATCACTCAAATTTTTCAAAATTTTCAAATTGTGAGTATATACCTAGTTATAATAATTTGATTCATACCTATACTTATCAACAAAACAACTCAAATTTAACTTTATTTCACAATACATGATTACATACCTAACTAATTATATGTATGGATGCTATATACCTAGAATCAAAATCTAACAAAAACAAGTTCAAATTCAGTTCAAACTTGCTTTAAACTAGTTAGTAAAGTAGTTAATGTTAATACCTAGGTAATTGAAAAAGTTTCATACTCATTTGAATTGGGTATATACTCAATTTCAACAATGGTGCCCGGGCACCATGGAGCACCAAACAAATATATATATATATATATATATATATATATATATATATATATATATATATATATATATATATATATGTTTGGGTAGAATGGTTTTAATATGCAGTGTTATTTGCTAATTAATGGTAGTAGGCCAGTCACCATCGTCGGCATGCAGAGACGATACGAATATGCCATATATATGGCTGCAAGGACAGTTGTGTAGCATGCAGAGACGATACGAATATGCCATATATATGACTCCAATTTAATTTCAAATTCCGTAGATTAAAAAAAATATCGTATGCACTAGCACACATCCGAATATATTTTTTTTGGTGGTACAAAAAGAACAGGAAGATATTCTGTTATATATCACCGTGTCCACATCTACATACGAATTTCACGTACGTGTACACGCATCGATATTGATTCCATGACCAAGAGACTCCATTTCTCAAACATACGGATTTTATTTTTCCCGTTTTGTTTAGCAGTTGTTGTCTCGCTGTCTCGCGTGGATCATATATGTATATTATATATTTATATATATAGATCGTGTGGGGTAAGCGCACGAATTAATCATAGTGATGCATACGTGACATGACAATATCCCTTAATTTGATTGACTACATTTTGCCTTCAACATTCCCTCAACTAGATAATACTCCGTGCTTTCTTACGGGATATATGTTAGATATTAGAGAAATGATGAAATAATTTGAATTAAAATATTATGAAAATGATTTGAGAATGATGATTTAACATGTGTATGTTTAGTTTTAGAATGAAATAAATCGTAGACATAATTACTATATGCTTGCATGTGTGTTTAATGGGTTGATGTGGTATGCTTGCATACAGGTTTTTAGGAGTGGTAATAAATACTATGCTTGCATGTTGAGTTTTAGATGTTTAGTGGATATTAGCTTTATAAAAAGAAAAGATTTGTTCGATGTTGCCTTCAGTTCCCTTGTGATTCTATAGTGTTAACTCCTCCTTTTTTTTATTTTTTTTTACTGCATCCTCTTTTTTTAAAAAAATTACTCCCCATTTCACAATAAACTATTATAGTATATATGATGTGACACTATCTAATACTATAAATCAGATTAAATATATAGTGCTAGGTAGTGTCACATCATGTATTAGATTGATTTATTTTGGGATAAAGAGAATAGACACATAGGTGTCAATTTAATTTTTACTATGTTGTATGCAATTGTGTGCATAAACCTATATATTAAACTCGTTATGGGATATATATCTTGCGACTTCACGAACATAGTTTTTTTTTAAATATAAGTACGATAAATCTTTAGCTATGTGCCAACTACTACTACTTCTACTTCTTCCGTCCCAAAATCTATATTGTCAAAACAAAACGAGATTGGATGGAATATATCCTAAAACAACAAATCTAGACTGAGATATATCCAGATTCGTTGTATTAGGATATGTCATATTCAGTTTATATATATATATATATATATATATATATATATATATATTAGGACGGAAAAAGCAAATTCAGAGAATGAATCTAGATATAGATCTCGGGAATCCTCACTTGATTTTTTATCGGACAGATGAAGTACTTAGGACTCAGGAGTGGACAAGACTGCATATGCTGTTTGTAATGCATATCCTGTCGCCAAGCGCAGCCAAAAATAGTAATTCAGATGGACATATAAGTAGAGTACTAGTAATTCAGATGGACAGATCCTACTGCTCGCGTACAGACCTTGCCAGCTGCTTGATTGGCTACTACTCTCTTTATTCCATAATATTCCCTCCGTTTTTTAATAGATGACGCCGTTGATTTTTTCTCACATGTTTGATCATTCGTCTTATTCAAAAAAATTTATATAATTATAATTTATTTTGTTATGAGTTGTTTTATCACTCATGATACTTTAAGTGTGATTTATATCTTATATATTTGTATAAATTTTTTGAATAAGACGAATGGTCAAACATGTGATAAAAAGTCAATGGCGTCATCTATTAAAAAACGGAGGTAGTATAAAACTTTATAGCATTGCTCATATTTTAATGAATCTAGACACACCACACGATAATATTGTATATCGTCAAGTGTGGCCTTCGTTCTTCCACGTCGCGTGATCATTTCATCTGGTGCCTCCATCCTATTTCCATGGAGCGAATAAAATCATAAATGACAGTTCTCATATGATGTACATTGTACAGTATGTGATGCTGCCTTTGTCCTTTGGCTGAACGCGTGCAGCCGCATGTGCACGTGTAGCAAAGCTATTTTTACTTTCTTATTTTTGAAAACTAGATGAAGATATGTGCCTAGATCTGCATGGAAAATGATGAATTATGGTACTAGAAGAATATTATGTCCTCATCGTCACAGAAACAACCGGAGGTGTGCTGATACCGGTGGGTACATAAATCCATCCCGAGTTTAAATCCTAGCTCCTAGAAACATGCTTCAATAGAAATTTAGTACTAACTCCGTCCCATAAAAATTAAATATGTACTCCCTCCGTTTCACAATGTAAGTTATTCTAGTATTTCTCATATTCATATTGATGTCAATGAATCTAGACATATATATCTATCTAAATTCATTAACATCAATATGAATATGGGAAATGCTAGAATGACTTACATTGTGAAACGGAGAAAGCAGGAAATTAAAGATAAATTAGGAGGATAGACTATAATAACCTTATTTAATAAACATAGTGCATGCACGCATTTCATATATAAGATTGATTAAAAAGAAGGTTGAGACAACGGATTAGAGATGAGATGGAAGAAAGGAAGATTTCAAGAAAATGTAATCAATTTGATGGGTCCTATATTAGTAGAAATAAGATTTTTATGCGACAAATGTTTAAAGGCAGAAATTTAATTTTTACGGGACTGAGGTAGTAGGATTAGAGTATGTATTGACAGAGTATGCTTAGCCACTTAATCCCTCCGTCCCAAAAAAAGACAAACCCTGGGTTTCCGTATCCAACTTTGACTGTTCGTCTTATATAAAATTTTTTTATAATTCATATTTTCATTGTTGTTAGATGATAAAACATGATTAATATTTTATGCGTGACTTGTCTTTTTAATTTTTTTTCATATTTTTTTTAAATAAAACGAACGGTCAAACGTTGGACACGGAAACCAGGGTTTGTCTTTTTTTGGGACGGAGGGAGTAGGTACTAGCTCCATTCTAAAATATTAAAATATAAGATATATTGTCTTACATAGTTATATGGATAAAATCTCCTATATTTTAGAACGAAGGTAGTATGTGCACATGACTTACATGTATATGGTAAATTGGTAATGACTAAAAAGAGAAAAGAATATTAGTCATCAGAACTCAAGTCACGGATGGACCATATAGCTAGCTAGTGATTGGCGAGTCAATCCAATCCTCTATGGATTATATATATAAAGTGCACGTAAAGTTAATTCACCATGGCATTTGATTATAGTGCTATTTGACACTCGAGTTAGCAGCCGGCCGGGGCCGGGCGATCACCTTTGTTTGACGAATAAATTTTTTTAAAAAAAACTAATGTGCACTTTTAGTTTGATATAGATTCCACTTTTTGTACATTAATTACTTGCTGTTGGTACAACGTTGACAGCGTCGTCCAAGAGGAAGAGGAAATTGTGGAACCTTTTCTTGTCGTCTTTCAATTAATTAGTGCGTGTATGATTCATGAAAGTTAACGTCATTACATGTCCTTCCAATTAATCTGTGAATGTGCAATATTATATTGATGGTGCTATTATTTTTGAAGCACATGGGCTGGTGGGAATATTTCTCAGAGGTTAAGTTTTTATCTTTTCTTAGAGGAGTTTTAACCATATCGGTAGGGGTTTTGGGTAGATTGTATATATGGTATGGAGATCTCAAACATATATATTCAACTCAAGTTTGGATTATGACAAATATACTTGACACATGTGCTCGTATTTACGACGAAGTGAGTGTACCTCAACTGGTTAGATGCTTGTGGTGGAACCAACCCACCTAGATTTAAATCGTAGATTTAACATAGTGCCCGCATTTATGGCTAGTTTTTTCTCAGAGGTAGCAGACGTAGAAAGGCAGGGTGAGTGTGCGCGCGTTGTGAGCTTCTGTGTTTGTACTATGTTTCTAGAAAGCAAACATACTTAAAATATAAAGAGTAAAATACATGGCCGCTAAACTTGTGTTGCGGTGTCACTTAGATCCGTGAACTTGAAAATTGCACGCTCAGTGAACTTGGTTTAATGTACCACCCTGGTCCAAACGTCCTTTGACTGCGTTTGACCGCCAACGTGACATCCCACATAGGCAACACTTTTACTCTCAGCCCCCTCCACATTACAACACGTCGCATATATCTCCTTATAGCTATATAGTGACACCAGAATCAAAAAAAAATCCTCAAATAGTTCTTCCTCCTCATTTTTCTCCTTGCATATATAAAAAATGTGGTCTTGATTAGCAATTGCCATTTGCTCTGCGCTCCAAAATAACCTTATCCTTGCGCAACGGGCACTTCATCAACAACACCTTCTTCCGGCGACTTCAAGACGGGGACGAGCTTGGAGAATCAATGGGGATGCCTAGCGTGCAAGACGCATTGCGCTGCCTCCCGCCGCTAATCCGGCCGCACTGTGCACTGCGCTGCCTCCTACCGCTATTCTCACCGCCGAGGCCACCGCAGAAGCTACCTCTTGACCTCCTTCCGCTAGCCTCACCGTTGAAACCCTAGCCGATTTAGGGATATTTTGGGGGATTTGGGTTGAAATGCACTGGTCAGGGCAAATATGTGTGAAGGTATATGTGGAGGGAGTTGAGCACAAAAATGTTGCATACGTGGCATGCCATATTAGCGGTCAAACGTGGTCAAAGAACAATTGGACCAAGGGTGGGTACATTAAACCAAGTTCACGAACCTAAACGTGAAATTTTTAAGTTTACAGACCTAAGTGACACCACACAACAAGTTTAAGGACCGGCCATATATTTTACTCAAATATAAAACATGCTTTACTTGTATCGCAGAAAAGTAAAAGATTTATGTTTCTTTGGGGACCACGAAGGTACGGTCTTTAGAATATGTTTGACGGATTATGTTAAATTATTTTTGCCATACTAAGTACAATTTCCGCAAAAAAAATGCTAGCATTGCTTAAATAACTTGTTCTAAGCTATTTTTAGTTTATAATATACTACCTCCGTTTTTTAATATATAACGTCATTAACTTTTAAAATATGTCTGACAAATTATTTTATTTAAAAAAGGTATGTGAAAAAAAGATATGTGATTGCCATTAATTTTGTTGTGACTTAATTTATATTAAAGGTCTTTTATGTTTGCAGAAAATTTTTAATAAAACAAATAGTCAAAAAATTATTAAAAAGTCAATGGTATCATATATTAAAAATAGAGGTAATTTAATATTTTATTCATGCTATAAGTGTTTGCCATAATCCGTCCAAACATCCATGGAAAATGGACAATGAGACAAACATATGTCCGAATCTTGTTGAACTATCACCAGATATTTACCCTTTGTGAATATTGTGGAACCATAGCCAGTTATTGACCCTCCCGAAACGAAAAACATCTAGGATTTTGAGGGTGATGTGTTTTTTGTCATATTACTAATAAGTGAGATTGAGGACCTATATTATTTTAGGATGAAGACTGATGGATGATAGATTTGTTTGTAGCGATGAATAAAATATTGGAGTATCTATTATATATACACCTTACAGATGGCTTAAAACAAGTGGTTCAAGCAATGTTGATGTAAATTTTGTTTAAAAAAAACATTTGAATAAAAGCGTGACACAAATAACCCACAGCTAATAATAATAAAAAGAACAAGCCCTTATAGTATACTTTCTCTGATTTTTTTAAGTTAGTCCCAATATCATACTCTCTCCATCCCTAAATATAAGGGATTTAAGTGTCAAAGTACCATGAATCTCACATCTATTTAAAATCCCTCGTATTTTAGGACGGAGATAGTATATAAAAGGAAGGAGGGAATAACTGGTAACAGCCACATTTACAAACAAATCTATCATCCATCAGTCTTCATCCGAAAATATTCACAAATGACAAACAAATCTATTATGCCACTTCACTCTTCACTCAGCGAATCAGATTCCAAAAACTGTCCCTGTTCTATCGGTCCATGTCTGGCGTCTGCGTCAACGACGTGCACTCGCGTGCATCGAGGGAATCACAGTAAATGTGGCAGTATCGGCCAAGGAGTAAAAGATGGCGAAGTGAGAAAACCAAGCACATCTGAGCAATCAGGACCAAGTCACAAACTCAGATGGGAATTATTGGCCTCTCTATCCAAACTCAGATGACTCACGCGATTGTCGCCCAATCACGAGAGCGAGGAGTGCCGAAACTCTGGTTAAAGAGATTATACAGTAAGTACATTATTACCTTTCCAGATGAACCTGGCCAGACTGACGATGAAGATTCACGGATCCTTGGTGTGGTTCACCACTTGCCAGTATTGTAACAGACGGGGTGTTTGGACCAGGGACTTTGTTCCTGTCACATTAGATGTTTGGATACTAATTTAGAGTATTAAACATAGACCACTTACAAAATTAATTACATAAATGAGAGCTAATTCGCGTGAAATTTTTTTAAAACCTAATTAATCCATAATTAGCACATGTTTACTGTAGCATCACATATGCTAATCATGGATTAATTAGGCTCAATTAATTCATCTCGCGAATTAGTCCAGGGTTATGAAATAGGTTCTGTCAATAGTCTACGTTTAATAATTCTAATCAGTATCCCAACATCCAATGTGACAGGGACTAAAATTAGTCCCTGTGATCCAAACACCACCTCAGAAGAAACCTTTGAAAACTTCACCACTTTTGCTCAACCGGTGACAGTTTGGGCCATTGAGCCACTCGAACTCACAATTTATTGGGTTTGGGCTGGACCATCAGCCATTTATCTATGAAAATGAAAATGGTACAATTAACTTCAATCTCTGGTGCTCAGGCCAAGACAGACATGGGCTGCTTGGGGGCAGCTTTGTGCAGTTCCAAAAGCATATATTGGTACTACTCCCTCCGTTTCATATTATAAGACTTTCTAGCATTGCCCACATTCATATATACGTTAATGAATCTAGACATGAATATATGGACAATGCTAGAAAGTCTTATAATATGAAAAGGAGGAAGTACATAAATATTATTCTACACGGATATCATGACTCACAAAAGTGGCCATTTACAGGAACCGAAATTAAAAGAAAAGTTAACTAACTATGCATTCAGGTGAACCTCAAAGCATACGTATTTAGTGTTGTCCATTTCTTCTGAATCATTTTTTCTTAGCACTTTCTTCTGCTCTAGTAAAAGCATCCATGATCATATCGGTAGCCCAATCCTTGACATCCTCCTACAAAGAAGGGTTATAAAGAGAAGCATTAACATAAGCTATGTAAAGAAAGGTGGTTAAAAGCATAAAACTGTAAACTGTATACAGGTAAGAAGTAACTTAATTAGCTTAGGATGCCAGTCAAACCAAGCTGCAAGGAAGTCTTGCAGCTCTCGGTTGTTTAAACATGTAACGATATCACTATCTAGCATATATCATCAACACTTATTTTTTTCAGCATGGAAGCGACAGTGTAGATGAAGCAATTCTGAATATCAGAATGCCAACTTCAATTAATTCTGAATATCAAAATTAATATTGGGGAAATGCATCGATGTAGAAGTTATGTCAGCTACTAACCAGCCGTACTGGTTCCCCAGTTCTTATACGGGCATGCGGACGAGCTAACTTCGATTCAAAAGGGGTCCTTGGCCTGACTTCTTGGATCTCATCCCATTCTTCACGCGTAAGCATCCTTACTTTTCCTTGATCAGGGTGGCTATTCTTTATCTTGCGTTCTCCTCTTTCTTGATCTGCTGCATCATGTTCCTTCCCACAACATACAACTAAAATTCAGCACAGTTGTCATTTCCCATGGAAGGGCACATCATGCAGTTGGTAACAACTAATTTGATTTAGTTCACAAGAGTCAAGAAGAATTCCCAAATCTTACCATCAAAACTTAAGGCAGTTATTAGCTCATGGGTAATGAAGTGAAATTGGAGTGAGACAAATATGGATTGAAGTGTAATATCAAACAAAAATGCATATCCAAAGGCCATGATTGAATTGCAGATTTCAACAAGCCCTATCCCATAGGAAACATTTTTCTGTAAACTATACATTCAGACAGACATCAAACAACTAAAGAAAATCTTGGCATTTCTATATCTATCTATTTTCCATATCCAAACAATCTTCAATTACTTTACAAAATCATTTCCGAAAGACATTTCTACTTGTTCCTAAAGGTTAACAGCTGCACACGCTCATAATAGAGCAAAATGGCTCCGTCGCAATTCGCAAAAGCAGCATGGGAATTTAATCCAGTGTATAATGTGGTCATACACAGGCGCATTCATCATGTGGCTCACTCGGATTTCAAGCAAACACACGGCGCTAGCAAGATAGCATCATCAGCAAGTAAACCCTAGGGGTGGGGGACGCACATCGCCCCAGTGACAAGGCTAATCAGCGCGGCGGGAGAAGGGATACCATCATGAGCAGCTTGGTGAAGAGCGCGATGGCGGCCGCCGTGAGCACCATGGGGAGGGAGGCCGAGTCGAGCCACGCGAGCGACTCCGGCGTCGCCACGAAGAACTCGTCGCGGGACGGGTCCCGTGGCCGCCTCCGCGCGCGCTCCCGCTCCGCCACTTTCCGCCGGAGAAGGGCACCCGGAGATCCGTCCGCTGCCGCCTCCGCCGCCGACGACGACGACGCGGCGTGCCTCACGGCCGCCCCTCCCCGGCGCAGCGCCGACCGCAACATCGCCGCCGCCGCCGCCGCCGCCGGCGACTCGGACAAGACACGAGCCCTCGAGAATGGGAAGTGGGTTAGCCCACTGGTTAGACGGGAGCCTATGGATTTAGGCCCATGTACTCCTAGGCCCATACAGGCAGTTTGGTTAGGCCCATTTAGTAAAATTGGTTTAGAGCAGTGTTTGAGAGAGAGGAAGATAGTGTGAGAAAATTCTACGTTTTCCACGCACACGCTTTCTGAATAGCTGAACGATATATTTTCTTTTAAAAAATAGTAAAGTTACTTTAAAAAATATTTTAATCCATTTTTATGTTTAAAATAATTATTAATGTATTTTCTTTTAAAAAAAATGAAGTAAAATTACTTTAAAAACATACTAATTTATTTTTAAGTTTAAAATAATTAATACTCAGTTAATCATGTACTAATACTTACCTAGTTTTGTGTATATTGTCAATTTTCTTCAATCTTCATCTCTTAAACGTACCCTTAGACTTATTTTGATAAATTAGTTTAGGCCCATTTTGATAAATTCGTGTAGGCCCATTTGGGCCCGTCTTGTTAATTTGATCTAGGTTCATTTTGGCAATTTGATTCAGGCCCAGTTATACGATCTCTATTTCTTGTTTCTTTTGTTCTCTTTAGAGCCTGTATATTATTTCTGAACCTTTTATCTTCTTTGATTTGGAATCATTCAATGCATATACACTGGAATTTAGGTAAAATTCATTCGATGGAGTATTGGAGTTGGATTGTATCCTCCTTTTCATTTTTATCCAAAGCAAAACCAACCAATTGTCAGCCAAAATTCTTCACAATTTCTGGTTTCAGTCTTGTGTGTTGGAACTAAAAACAAATGCCAATTTGGCCTTCTCCTGTACAGCCTCCATTGATTACTTCTTGCCTTTTTTTTCCCCCGCATGAAATTTCTTTTTGTAAGTGGGATTTCCTTTCACACCTGCAACCTTTTTTCTCGGCATCAAATCTGTAACCAACAAATGGAGATTTATGTCTGAACTTTTCTTCTTCTTCTTTCAGAAAAGCAAGGGGGGGAAGAAAATTAAACAACCTGCATGCGGCTGCAAGAAGCCTGCAACTTTGGCGCCGGCATGTGCTGCGTATCAGCACACCAGGATCACATCACATCACACGCCATGTCGCTGTCCATTGCGTCGTGCTCTCGCTTCATCCATGCTTGGATGCATTACTGAATTTGCTGATGCTGCTGCATCTCCTGATCAGCTGAACTGAAGCTCTCTTGCCTGCCAAAACCTACCAGATTGCTTTTGATCATTGCTTTTGATCATCTTGCAACTGCATGCCAACATCTCTCCTGCCTTCTTGGATTCATCTGAACAATCTCTTTCTTTCATTCTGTCTGCCTCCATGGTGTTAGTTTCTCTGCACATCAGTTAAGTTGCTGGTGCGTGTCATGCTTTGCAGGTCTTGTGCTTTTTCTTCCCTGGCTTATCCTAATTCGACTGCTTATCTTTAGACTTGTAGTTGTATGTAGGTGACCGGTAAAGTCCGTCTCTTTTGTGAGCTTTGTCGTTGGGCATCTTCTGCAACAACTGCAAAATTTTCTACTCTGAATTTCCCATCACCATCATCTTTACTAGTTTATCTTGGGACAGATTAACCCGACGACCAGATTGTTCATCTCTTCGTTGCACCGTTCAACACTTCAACATCAATCTGTGACTTTGCATCATCTTGACAAATGACAAGCATATGCGTGCATACTAAACTTACCAGTCATCACTTCTGATAGACTGTTAGTAGTTGTAATCTCCACTTAACTCGTACTAGTTACCTGGTCTGATCTGTCTCTGTCGTCATCAAAGTTCCAAGTCATTCATCCAGCTTGTACATCTGCACATGCAGCCTCTGAATTTCAAACAGTAGTACTAGTCTCTGAAGCCATCTTTTTTTTTCTTCGTTTTCTTTTCTTTTGAAGGTGAGGCCATCTTAGTTGAGTTGTTTACTGAAGCTAGCTTTTTTGGCCATGAGGGGCTCCATGTGCCAGTGCTCATGGCTCCAAACCTAGCCTTTGTTGTGTAGAGATTAAACTAATCATCACCATTTGTTAATTAATAATCCCTGCCTAGCTATCCATCTCATCTCACAGGTCACTAATATACTGTTCCATTGTCTGTAGAATCTATTATATTATTAAGACAGCTCGAAACGAAGGCACCACGTTCGCCGTGGGGCTAGAAATTCCCACATTAATCGGAGAAAAAGAAAAAAAGAGTCAAAGTAGAAATACAATTAAAAATAGCTGAAATTCGGAATTTAAAATATGCAATATGGAAAGAGGAGTCCATATAGGAACCCAATACGTGATTAATCAAAATTCGAAATAAAAATAAAATAAAATCCAAAATTAGAAAAGGAAAGGAGAGTCCAAATAGAAATACAATTTAAAAATAGCTGAAATTCGGAATTAAAAATAAGCAATATTGAAAGAAGTTTCCATATAAGAACCCAATACGAGATTAATCAAAATTCAAAATAAAAATAAAATAAGATCCAAAATTAGAAAAGGAAATAAGAGTCCAACTAGGAATACGATTTAAAAATAGCTGAAATTCGGAATTAAAAATAAGGAATATTAAAAGAAGAGTCCATATAAGAACCCAATACGAGATTAAGTAAAATTCGGAATAAAAATAAATAAATCTAAAATTAGAAAAAGAAAATAAAAGAAGAGTTCAAGTAGGAATACAATTTAAAATTAGCTGAAATTCGGAATTAAAAATAAGCATACTGAAAAAAGAATCCATATAAGAACCCAATACGAGATTAATTAAAATTTAGAATAAAAAATAAAATAATATCCAAAGTTAGAAAACAATAAAAGAGAGTTCAAGTAGGAATACAATTTTGAAACAACTGAAATTGAAAATAAAAAATAAAAACATTAAAATAACACAATACGGTATTAAATAATTTTTTAAAAAAATTCTAAAAATTAGAAAAATAAAAATAAGATTTAAATTAGTAATACAATTTATAAATAACTAAATTTTTTGATAAAAATAAATATTATTAAAATAAAAAACCATCTAAAACACATGACGAGATATATTAAGTAACATGCCTATAAAGGAGTAGAGTGGTGACGGTTGATATGACATATAAAAATTGTTAATAAAACACCAAATAGAATCATAATGACGATTAAAAGGAGAGACGTCAGGGAGGCTGTGAAGCAATAAAATTTAGAATAAAAAATAAATTAATATCCAAAGTTAGAAAACAATAAAAGAGAGTTCAAGTAGGAATACAATTTTGAAACAACTGAAATTGAAAATAAAAAATAAAAACATTAAAATAACACAATACGGTATTAAATAATTTTTTAAAAAAAATTCTAAAATTAGAACAAGAAAAATAAGATTTCAATTAGGAATACAATTTATAAATAACTAAAATTTTTGATAAAAATAAAGATTATTAAAATAAAAAACCATCTAAAACACATGACGAGATATATTAAGTAACATCTAAAACCGTGAAGCAAACAAGTAAGGCGGTTGCCGGGACTTGTAGAAAGTAAAAAAAAAAATTTTAGAATCACAATGACAATAAAGAGTAGGTGGCGGACCGGCTGTAGATCGGGGACATAGTGACATCGTTTGATGGCACTTCTAAAAATTATTAAAAATAAAACTACAAGTCCAATTTTTAAAGGTTCGGAACTTCTGAAAAGTAAAAAAACCAATGATAATCATATTCGATTTTAAAATCAAAATGAAATAAAGAAGGGAGGCAGCGGGCGAGCCGTAGAGGATTACAATGGCAAAGCCGCTAACGGTTTGGCGGGACTTCTAAAAAGTAAAAATGAAGTTAAACGATAATTATGTTCGATTTTTAAATTCTCAATGACAATAAAGAGATAAGACAGTGGACGTGTCATAGAGGAGTATAATAGCAATGTTTGACGAGACATCTAGAAATTATAAAAATGAAACCCAACGTGACAATAAACTCTAAAAACTATAAAATCTAATTTTTAAAGGTTCTAATAAGAATGAATAGAAATAGTGGTAGATCTAGCAAGCAAATAAAGAAGGAGATGAGACATAAGGGGTAGCAACTGGTGTGACTTTTAAAAACTATATAATTAGAAACTCGATGATGATAAGGTTTGGTCTTTCAAAGTCTTAAGACAATGAGATAGCTATTTAATAAATTTTAAGTAAAATCATACTTAAAAAAATATATGATTTTGTTTGGGTGCTAGCCGCGCAATTGTGCGGGCCACCCAGCTAGTTTAATTAAAATTAAGAGCGAGAGAACGGTCAAGTGTTCAGAGTTCTGCATACCTAACGCCTAACACTTCAAAGATTCCAAAATTTTTTCTGAATTATGTATCTGTAGATCCATGGACCACGTGGTATCTATATGAGTGTATGTACAGTGATAGGGAGATATAGATGCATATGTTTAAGAGCGTCGCCGAATTGCTTGTCGATAGGCTGTTTTCAGGTTGCTGTCTGCTTGGAGGTGCCAAACTGTTTTGGTCAGTTGCAATGTTCAGATTTCAGGAGGCGAATGGTGGAGATTCAGATTACAGTCTTTACAGACAATGGATTCTGATGGAATTGTCGAAATCTACGTGCCAGTTTTGATGTGGTTTTCTGATTTGATTCACCAAATTCCTGGTTGATAGCTAAGTCTGCCTGCCTTGCTCACTGACTGCTTAGCTAGATATGAAAATTTTGGTCAGATGATGGTTGCAACCGGCACCAGTTGGCCAAGAAACACCAACAGTTTCAAGAAAAAATATCACTGTTTCAATCTTGCAAAAAAAGATGAACCCTAAAGCATGAGTTTTACAACTCTTTTCAGTAATCACACAGTAATTTTCCATGTGTACCTTGAGTTTGCTCATGGAACTGTTCTTTATAGTTTATTTCTCATGCCCTTGTTAATGATACATGTGACCTAAGCACAAAGCCCTCGATTGTAGCAGCTATGATTACAATTTCTTGGCTCTAGCTTTATTGCTAGCTCTCAAGATTGGTGAACCCCACAGTGAGATTAACCAGCCCATCAAAGTAAGCTTAATTGGTTAGCCCCACTCTAATAGAGATTTTAAGATGTATTAGTTCAAGGTAAGCTTTGGACATTACAGATTA